AGAGTTAAATACTGAGCAGCAATAATATTTCATCAGTATGGATTTCAGAGCACAATTTGCTCTGTGATTACATCAGAAGGTTGAACTGAAGGACAAGTCTTCAACCAGAAAAACTCTTTCACCATCAATACTCAGCACTTAGCAATCTATTTTTATATATTTACTCTACATACTTGTACTTTTCCCTGCATACATTTCTTCATATTTCTCTCACTGCTTTCACAGTTAAAAAGAAAAAAGAAAATACAAAATGGAAAAGGATAATAATAACAAACATAAAACTTTACTGCACAGTTTCCCTTACAACTCATCATTACAAGACAGCCATCTCTGTCACCACACTGAACAGGTATAACTTAATCTTATGGTACGGTGGCATACACCTGCATTTGCTGTTTCAACACTAACAAATCTAACTTTCATCCTTCCTCACTCTCTGTAGCAGGTCTTATCTTTAGCCACATATCACAGTGAAAGGTTAAACAGTGAATCACTGGCAGCAGATAAGGCAGGGAGTTTAGTACTGGGGTTAGTAACTCGTTTAAAAATTGGCCACAAAAACTATCGTAAGCTTGAACCTTAAAAAAAACATCAGTTTTCAGAAAAGGTTATTAGTCAAAGTCTAGATGCTATATCCTATTTCTCCTACAGTACCCCTGCATAAAGACAGGTGGAAAGGCTTTCTAAAGTGAACTCAGAGGTGTAATAATGCACGTTTTATTCATATCCTCTTGTGTAGACAGTGAGTTGTGGTCATAGCAGAAAGTATTTTTAGGTCCCAACACGCAGATTTAATAAGTCCCTCTGACAAAAGCTCTCAAACCGAATTTCAACACACACACTAGACTATTTTCAAAGAGCTGGTAGAGAATAAATATGTAACAAGGAAAGTGGGTAATATTTCATTATGCACCACAGGCAAGGGAGCTAAGTTATCTTTAGAGCATATACATAATTTAATCAGTCCTTTCTCCTCCAACAAGCAAGACTGTTATCAGTGTTCAGACTTCCACCACAAATCAAATTAACGGCCATGATTTACGAATATTAAGAATTATAATATGACCCAACTTTTCTATTAATTTCCCAGAAAGAAACTTTCCAGTGATGGCATTCTTGACATGGCTTTACATGTCATTGAGATTCACAGGAAATACTTTTACAAAAGCATTAAGCTGACTTAAGGACCTGATGACATGTTTTAAATTACTGTCGTGCCTTTCTGAGTCCAGTGAGTGCATCAGTGAGCTAAGACATTTTAAAATATTTTTTCCTGAAGTAGAAACTACTTTTGGGGTTGTTCTACTGGACTATACAGTAGAGGAGCATTTAAAAACGAAGTCATGTTAGCAGTTCTATGAGACTGTACTTAGGCACAGGGGTGCTTTTTTTAAGATTGTTATTTTTGGCATTTTTTTAAGAGCAGAGAGTGACAGGAAATGCAGAGAGAGATTCATCATGTGGGAGCCATAAATGTCTGTGAAAAATTCCATGGCAATCTATCACGTAGCCATGTCGAAATGTTTTCCTGTTGAAGTGAAAACTTTGACATGCTAAAGGAAAGGTCCAGGAATCAACAAGTTACTGGGACCTCCTTTGGGCAAAAAGAACACCTGCACCAAGTTTCACTGCAAACAAACCAACAACTGTTAACAAATGTGTCTGAAAACAAAAAATGTCATCCTCTCTGTGGTGTCACAGTTTCAATTCTTTGCCGTCATGGCTCCTTCAGTTTTTAATCTCACTGCGTGAGGAGTCCAGCAGCTAATTATCTTTGGGATTTCTTACTGTCCTGTCCCATGAGCACAGGGAGAGCAAACATGTGGAGCACGCTGTTGACGAGTGGGAGAACAGTGTGTGCAGTGGCTGAGGCACTACATCAGTTTTACATCCATTTCACCCAGTTATGTAACCATACATTAAAACAAAACATCCGGCTCTGCAAGTCGGATTCAGGCATACAACATATTAATGATAATAATAAACCATAGGACTGCTGTGTTTTGTTTTCATCACCCAGTGAATGTAATTATTGTATGTATTAAGACAAAGTTTGCTTAGACTGATCAGGTCTAAAATTACAATTTATTCATCTTGTACTGTAAAATCTTATATAACAATATACTGAAATGCTGATTTAATTATTTCTGATACAATTAATAATATAACAGAAGGCCAATTAATGGCAGGGCCTAATTATGGCAATAAAGGCAGCTGGTTTGTTCATCCATCACTTCAGTCCACACAAGTATAAAGTTAAAAACAACTACTTGTCAAGTTGCTAGGAAACCTGTAATGGATATTCACCATTCCCAGAAGATGCCTCCTATTGTTTTAGCTGATTGTGTGATCTTTCATCTAACACTAAATTCAGTTAAAATCACACAGGAAAAAATATCAGAATCTTAGGTCAGACTGTCATTAAACCCCAGCCGATGATCGCTTTCCAATGTTCCTGCCCACTACAAACAGTGGACACATCATGGTCCTCATGTGCCCCCACTTCCGCTCTACTCCCACAATGACTCTGATGTATAAATCAATAAGGGACTGTAATTTAAATGTCATTACTAGAGTTGTGGGAGAGCAAAAAGTTGTAAAAAGCTGCCCTCTGCAGGTCATCAAAGGTACATTTTCAGTTCAATATATCCACCAAAAAAATATTAATTCAATGGAAAAAACATTTTGCTATGTTTTAGTTTAATATGCAGTGGCACGCCGCCAAACTAGTAATTTGACTGATGTGTGATGACACACATATTGTATTGTTTCCTGTTAGAATAAAACTCTACAAACCTGGTGAGTTGATTACTGAAATGCCAAGTAGAAAACAGTAGACTATAGAGATTAGTATGTACTACATAATGTAAACCAATTTTCAGTATGAAGTCAGAACACAGCAACTGTGTTAGCCATCACTGGCTATTCTCCAGTATTCAGTATTCACACAGGACCCTGGCCTGAAGCTGTAGAGGGGGCTACAAGGCTAAAGCTGGAGTCAGATAGTCTGTGAGCATCCAAACACGTTAATCACATGTCAATATGTGACAGAAGGAGTACAGAAGCATCATATATACACAGTTTCAAACTGTTCCATGATTAAGTCCACATTACCCACTTTAGGAGTGCTGTCATCAAAATATACAATAATGAAAACTGTATGTGTGTGGGGGGCGCACACTAGTAATATGTTATGTACAACTGTCTGTAGTCTGTTTCTTTCATAAATGGAAAAAAAAGGGACTGCATTTCTGAAATGCAGTGTCATTACTTGAAGCAAAAACTCTAAGGTCTCACCTGGCTCCATAGACGTAGAAGCAGTAGATGTGGAAGGTGAGCAGGGCCACCATGTCAGAAAACAACGAGAGGGCAAAGGTCAGACCGAAGCAGGCTGACAGACCTCCATACCAGAGGATGCCCTCGATGAAGGGGGACATCAGGCGGATATAGCCTGGAAGGAAACATCATACATTAAAATGAAGGTCTGATCAGAACAGGCTTATAAAACACTAAGGTGAGGATTTTGTACATGGGTTGTTTTGTCCAACATTTCATATTGTGGGGTGGCATTACTGTTGAAGCCCTTCAGGGCCCACTAAACAAGCACAGAATAAAGCAGTTAAGGTGCATGTTGTTTGTGTGCTTTGTGCTCTGACTCACTGATCCAGAGGTGAATGTGGTAGAGGAAGAAGCGGCCCAGAACCTGGTCCAGGGCCCGGTTCATCTTTAGCCCTGCAGGAGCTCCCATCAGCCATTGCAGCAGCTCTTCCAACTCTTTAGCCACATGCTTCAGAAAAAAAAAAAAATACAGAAGCTGAATGTTTGGAAAAGGAAACATCTTTTTATACTAAATCCACTTGGTTAAAAATCACTTGATGTATTCTATTTGCAATGTATTTGGATGATTCATACATCATTAAATCACTCACACAAATATTTTGAGTTGTCTGTTAACAAAAAGTATCTGCTGCCTCACAAGAATGAGCACTAAGAAGACCTATGATCAAAAATTTCTGCTTTGCATGAAGCTGGAAAGAGTTACAAAGAAATCTCAGAGTTCAGATTTCATCAGCAGAGACAAACAAACAAGATGGAGATGATTTAGCACTAGCTACTGTGGGCACCCAGCTAAGCTAAGCACTTGTTTGAGGTTACTGCCGCCAAGGAGTTTCTTTAACCTTTACTTTTTCAGGGTAGGTCCACTGAGGGGCCACCTCTCTTTTTCTGGGATGCCCTGTTTACATTCACACCTGGAAGCTGCCCAGCCTTGCTCAAGGGCACAACACTAGTGTTAATGATGGTGGGCAAAGTGCTACTTTACCATCTGTCTCACCCAGCTTTAATCCTATTGGTCTGGGGACTGAACTGGCAGCCCACCGAGAACAAGCTCTCTAACCTTTAGACCACCACTGCCCAAAGGTTCAACCACTTATTAAAGCCAAATGTTCACTTACTTTTACTACCAGTACTGTGAATGTTTAATGGGTGTGTACAGTAAAGACACGGGAGATTATAATTGTTTCCTTGGGATTATCTTAAATTCACTGTGTTTGTCTATATTTAGAAGCAGATCAGATCACACTTGATAACCAGGTGATGTGGGAAAACAGGTCATTCCAAAGCATTCACATACTTCTACTTGCCTTTGTAACTACATACCAAAATAAAGATGTAGAAGTTACAGTACTTGACATGATCATAGTTACAATATGAATCCCTAAACTTAAATTTGTTTTTGGATTCACAGCAAAGTGTTTGACAACACTATAAATATCTAATTATTTTGACATAATGAGTTATGTTGTGGCACTAATATTTATGTTTTGAGATCCTTATCAGGAGATAACGATGTAATTATTTTATTATGTTTTTATTATTATTATTTTTTCTACCCAATTATCTGTTCCCTGGTTATTTAAAGTACTCAAAGCATTCCCTACCCCCATCATATCTAAATGCCTAACCCTAACACACACTATCAAATGTCTTTTTTCCCCAAAGTTCTCCTCACTTCCAAGGTCTAAAACTAAAACTGGTCCTCACAAAAATAGCCATACAAGTACACACACACACACTTACTTACATCAGCTGCTGGTACAAGTGCGTTGGCTAACATGGGGATGTGGTTGTCTCTGTAGAGCCACAAGATGAGCAAGACACCAAGAGCCACATCCACCAGGAAGGACACCATAATAGTGGCTTTCCTAAAGACAAAAAAAAGACATGTGACAATAACAAGTAAAACCAGAGGTGAACCACTGCTGTCACAATTACAGCAGAGTACAGGGAGACAACTTCATCTCTACTTGTGCCAGAGTCTATGCTCACCGCTGGTGTACAACATGCTGCTCTTATAGAAACACCCCTTTATTCACCTTATCAAAAGCTGCACACAGAAGAACCACAAACACAGCAAACAAACTTGTGTTTTTCCATATACCCACCTCATGAAATCTGTGTGGTCAGTGGCTGGTTTTGGTGAGCTGAGCGTCTTCATGTGTTCAGTCCTGTAGCTGAGCTGGACACATGTTGACAGTTTACTGGCCAGGAAGCGCAACGGGTAAAGACTGAAGACCCTGGAGATGAAACATAATAATGACAGTCTGGTGTCTTACAGTGTCTGGATATGAGTGAAGATACAAATCCCATATGGCTGAGTCATTCTCATCCTCTGTACCTTTTACATAATGTACCTGTTCTAAAACTGATTAGAGCTACATCTAGATCTAACACGAGTGTGACATAATATTTGAACTCATCATTTTTAGTAGCAGTTCAATAAGAAACACTTTCTCATTATACATGTAAATACTGTACTTAAAATATAAATGGTCAAATTTATAGCACAAATTACCAGCTGTGCTCTCCTTTCAATACAAAATGATTAGTTTTGATTAGTTTTCACCAATCAGCTTACAAGTTTGCTGCTCAATACGTGTGCATTTTATTTGCTACTTCCACACTACATGCATCACTTCAGGAGAGTTTCAATGTCTTGCAGTTATAGTTATGGATTTAGACCTCTGGATTGACTCAGTCTCAAGATGTTTTTTTTTCTACTGATCTCAACATGACTCTTCTTATTCTTTGTCTCAACACCTGATGATCTGATTCAGAGGTTTTCCATCTTGGAAAGCATAAAATTCAAATAAGCAGTCAGAAACCTCAAAATGTGTATAGCATCAAAAATCATCCAGACGTTCCCAATAAAAGTGTGCATTGCAACTAAAGTTATTTTGAAGGCAGTAACTACCTATTATTTTCATTATTAATTTATCAGCAGATTGATAAATTAGTAATAGTGAAAATCGTCATCACAGATATTTAATTTGCTATGACATAAAACAAAGAAAAGCAGTGAATCCTCACAATGGAAAAGATAATGTTTGTCATTTTTGCTGGAAAAAAGAAAATCAATCATCAACATAGTTGCTGATTAATTTTTTGTTAACTGAGAGATCTATTAACTGAGTAATTGTTTTAGTTTCCCTCCCACTCACCAGATGTTACAAACCCACACCCATATGGAGAGCAGCCAGCTGATGAGCCGGCAGAGCGGTACAGAAGCCTGTTTAAACAGCTCTGCGATGATGCTGGCCTCTCGACCTTCTGACTGCCAGTGAGTCAACTTCAGTGGCCCATCATCGTATTTATCCAGAAAGAACAGAGGCTGGCTGCTGGCGACCGTCTGGAACATCTGGGCCAGAAGAGAGAAGCAACATGTTATGGTGACCACACATCTACACTGACCGGTAACCTTTCACACATTGGCTTTACTCTGTACATGCCCTAGCGACATATTAACATTGTACTTGAATAGTTTCCTGCAAAAGTCAAAAGCTGCAAATTTCCTCCACAAGCTCCTCACACATAAAGTTTAGTATAAAGTGGTAAAAAGTTGGTTTAATATGTGTAAAGAACTATTTTGATCATTTACATAAAATGGGAAGCTAAACAAGTAAGTGAACAGTTTATATACAAAATAACCAAAAGTAAGAGTGTAGCTATACACTGTACACAGAGATCTGATACCTTAGTAAAAATAAAATAATGGCACTTGCTGATGGTGAATAAAGAATAAAGCTCAATGTGAAAACTGCACAGGCAGAGCACAAATTAAAATAATCCTTACAACCTCCAGACAACAAACTTTCATTTATATTACTTATATGATTAAAATCAGCCAACAGGTATTATAATAAGAGCTACAACTTATGTTTTTTTTTTTTGGGTCACCCGATTCTTCTACCTGTCTCAGTTCTGACGGTGCATCAGTTTTGGGGTCAGAAACTCCGTTCTCAATGGGGTGAAGCTGCGACAGCATCACATTTCTCTGCTCGTAGTGGATAAAGATCACCTTCTCCTCCTCCTCATTGTTGTTTCCCTTATGTCCAGCATAGCCATCACTCTTCTCATCCTCCTCACCCTTTTTCTTTTTTGCCTCCCGCTGAGCCGCTCGTCCATCTGGTCACGACAAAGATTAATTCATTTTCAACTCATGACAGCTTTCTTTATTAAAAACCACAAACAGAAAATTCTCCATGGGTTTTTAATGATTCAGAGTAATATGTTATTAAATAATGGTAATAAATAAGAATTTAAAATTGGATGTGTCAGTCTGTTGTAAACCCACCCAGCAGAACTCTGCAGGACTACTGTGTAAACATCATGCTGAAAGACTTACTCTGAGCTGGATTGAGGACATCACAGTTGAAGCCTGTCTTGCCTATCTGGCGGCTAACCTGCAGCCAGCGTTCCTGGGGAAAGATGGTGCTGAGGTCTCTGAGGAAGCTCTCCATGCCCTCCTGACTCTCTGTGGGTAAACTCCATGAGCCCAGCACTGACAGTTCCACTCCGCTCTGAGCCTGCACCTAGGAGAATGAGGGATGGAGGGTCAGGCAGTGAGTGAGGAGGAAGAGGTTTTAATTGTGAGCAGATGATACCTAGAAGAGTTTCTGGGGTTTCTAAAAATACTTCCAGAATATCAGCGATTTTTTTTAGATATTATCAGATATTGATTTTTTTTTAATCCAATGCTTAGATCTTTGACAGGAACATAATAATAATACACGAGAGGCACAAAGCAGGGCTAAATTAAACCCTCATCCAGACATGAGAGAACACACAAGGCCTGTCCTGTTGATGCACTGACCTGCTGGAGGTACTGTTTGACCTGTCCGGGGATGAATGGGTAGTGGATGACAGCCAACACCACAGCCGAGTCATGACCAGTGATCCAGCGGCCGACCAGCAGCCCGCTGTCAGCCCGGTTACAGCACTGTGGGAAGAAGATCTTCAGCACCATGACTTCACTGCAGCTCGGTGTTCAGCCTCTGGGCAGCTCTGATGGTCTGAGAGAGATGAAGAGTGTATTCAAGTACAAATAGCAATACCACAATAAAAGACAAATAAAGTTCTTGAATATTTCATCCACAACCACCTAAAATTTTGTACTGTTATGATTAAAGTTGTAGAGTAGAAATGACCACTTCCTGGAATAAACAATAAAGTGCATTAATAACTGTAAAGAATCTGAAAAGAAATCTTGAGCCATCATAAGATGCTTACAAATCATAGTTTAAATTACACTTGCAGAACAACAAATACGTGTTGACATCCAAACGGAGGCTGCTGTATAAGCTTGATGGCTGACAGAAAACTTCAAAAAGATTTAAAATAATAAAGATTAAACTGAAATAAATGCAAAAAGGGAGGTAAGGAGTCAAGCGTCACCCATGAATGCTTAAATATAGAGTACCAGGAAATGTCAGTAAATATACATATCTGAGGACCGTTTGACAACTATACATACTATGTTGTACAAGTATATAAAATGTGTACAAGTATATAAAATTAAATAAAATGAATTGTAATAAAATAAATATGCCGAATCCTTAATATTAAACAAAGAGTGTGTTTATGGAGAGATGCAACGAAAAGCAAAATACTAACTTTCCCAATTTTTGAGTAGAGTCTGAAGAACGAACGAACGAAATGCAGCGGGATTGGACGGTTGCCCTCCTTTTTGCCCTTCAATGAATTTGGAACGTGTTGTAGTGACAACATACAAAGAAAGCCGGGGCAGGATTAGATCGATTTTAATGACAGTAACGTCAAATGGCAAGCTAGCACAGGAAAGTAGGTGAACGGTAGCTGTAGTGTTAGCTATCGTAAAACACAAGTGGGGTATTACTGATAGAATACGATAAATATGTCTACACTCACATGAAAAACTAACATTGAATGACCCTATCCTCAAGCTTACTCGTCCAGTTTTCAATTTTAAATCTAATTACTTGCCTGAAATGGAGAGATAACCAATGCAACGACAGTATAAGTACAAGATGTGAGTGTATAAAATAGTTCATTTACCTTTTTAAGGCCAATGTATGCGTTCACCTTGCATTTGTCACGTTGAGTTGAATCAACTACGTACAAACCGCCGCCATATTCTTTGTTGACAGTCCATTACATTAAGTGCTCCGGTGAGAAACACGCATTCACGTGTGGTCCTTTAATCAAAATGTCCATGTCGTTCAATTCTAAAAAGTCCCAACCCAATACTTTTAGGAAATGCGTTTAGCGAAACCCACAATTAAAAAAAAAAAACAAAAAAAAAATTATACTCTCTTAAATGTGTTTTAGACTATGTTAGTTTAATTCTACAGGTTAGTGTACACTTATGTTCAGGGCAGAAAATTTTAAATAAACAACACCACACAGTTGGGACCAATACTGATGTTAATATTGTTATTTATAACACTAATTAACGTACATGTTGATGCTAATATGGATACTGTCATTAACAGTATGTTTTAAATTCAACACAATTTTGCAGTTCTTTGCTGTGATAACAGGAACGCAATGATCAAAATACAAACACAATGGCTTATTTTTCATGGGTGTTCACATATGAACCTGAATTAAAACTCTTAGGTAAATGCTAGTGTTGCATTTATCTGTACTGCATTAATCATTACTATTTGTGGACAAAATTTTACATCCATCTATGTTCTTGTTTACAAAGGTCACTGTAGTTACTTTGATCCTAATTGTCACCTTATAGAATGTAGACAGTTCTTATTTATTTATTAGCCTAATTCATAAATGTGTTTGTTAAAGTTTTGGATTTTATTTTAAAACAATGGGCTTTAGTTACTGTAGATTTGCTGCAGTGACCATATTGAATGATAAACAAGTTGTAATTAAAATATTTTATTTGGATGCAAGCCTAGGCTATTGTATAGCTTTTATGCATAATATAAGAATGATCAAGTTGGCTATCCTCCCGTTTTCTAATGAGAAGTTAAAGTTAAATGAAACTGAAATAATGCTTGTAACTCACCAGCAAATGCTCTGTTTGTGTGCTGCTGCTGTCAAAGTTGTGGGTGAATAAGGAGTTGGCCCAACTGTAAAGACATTTATCTTCTTCTACAGTGACACAGCAAGAAAAGAGCGGGATGAAAACTTTCACTGGACTACATCAAAAACATTCTGTCGATTTTTAATAGATTAACAGCATTCAACTCCTTTAAGGTAAAAACTTATAGTCACAGTGATAGAGCTGGAGCTTAAGCTGTAATTTGTGCATTATTTATCATTTGCTAAAGCTATGTTTTGTTCTTATAAATATAGCATAGCCTAATTTTTAATTTGTTTATCTATTATCAATCCAGTTCCAGTACGTTGCTACTTCCATGCTTTTCTGCAACTAAAAATGTTCTTACATAAGAGGACAATTTTATTTTTTTGGTTTACATCATTTAAGTTCAGGTATTTTCTTTTTAATTTTGTGCTGTTTAAAAACGTTTATTAGTTAATATTTAATTGTTAACAATTATTAAAGCATTCTAATTTTACATCCATGGTTGATATACTAATTTAAATAATAAACTACAATTCCTAGAAGATCTAGGGAGAGATGATCACATAGAATATGGGAAATCAGGAAGTAAACAAACATGAGGGCCTTGTGCTAGAAGTGTACATTTGACAGCATTTATGATTGACTTTTGTTTTGATCTTAAAATACAGTATATACAGGTGCATCAGAAAGTTCAGATAATAAAGCAGGGTTCCATATACCAGGATTGAATATCAGAGTTGGAATAGAATTAGTGATGGGGTAACAGTTTATACTAGATGCTGCTGGCAGTTTTGACAACATTACAGTGGATTGAAGAGGTGAGACCTCTGAGAGCAGTGATCTGTTCTGATTCAAGTGCGCTATTAACCAGCTTGAAATATAACCATTCAGAGAGCCAACTTGATGTTTTACTAGATAGAATATTGAAATAATGAAAAGTATGTGCAGCAAGGAGCATGGGGAGAAGTAGGAGAGAAGAAACAACAGTTTGGTGATACAGGACTAAATAATACATTATTTAAAATGGGTAAACATCTTACTGGAAGATGTGATTCATGTTATGTTATACTGCACATAAGATGAGGCTGACAGAAGGGAAATGATTCAGAATTTACCACCACTATAAAGGTGGTGTTTAATTTGTGTGATATTTTACAAAAAACGTCTGTTTCTGTATTTAAGGAAAACGAAATTGATAGAGAGAATTTAAGTTATTCTATCAAATACGGAAATGATTCTAATCGTCTTAAACGTTTATTAGATTTAGGAAAGAGTAGTTAAGATTCCCGATCCACACTCCTATCCAGTTGGTGGCGGTAATACACAATTTTGTTGGTTGCCAACTGTCATAAAATCAACGAAGAAGAAGAAGGAGAAGGAAGGAGAAGAAGAAGAAGTATAGAATAATAATGATTAACACTTAGAAGATGGAGTATTTAGGGCAGGATCAAATTTCGGACCAAACTACAGTCGAAAGTACGGCAATTTTAAGGAATTTCCAGGTTTCTTTTTTCGCTATGAGTCGTCTGGCTTCATTTCCATGGACTGTGAGTAGCTATAACATCCTGTATGGAGAGAGCTGCGCCAGACTTGACTCAAAAACTATTGTTTGTTTGTTGTGTCAGCTCAGCGGAGGAGATGCTCATTGACAAAATGTGACTCATTATTTTTTCACAAGTTAGAGAATTATTTTGTGATAATTTTTGTAAGAATTTTTTCAGAACGAAGTCTGAAATCAGAAATTTGTATCCCAAGACTAAAGATAACATACTAAGAAATGTGTAATTCTAAGAGAATGTCAAAATAGTGGGATCAGACCCTGACTAACAATTTCTATTTTTATAGTTTCTAGAAGAAGACATTAAAGGCAACAAATCATTAGAATTAATTTCAGATATCCTGAAACAGGTAAGAGCACCTGCACACACACGCCTGTCATCATGTAGCCCTCTTAACACAGTCCCAATAAATTTATGGGTTATGTATCTTGTTGTTTTCAGACATGTCTTCACTCACTGTGCAGAAAGTTTCCACCATCAGTCAGATACAGAAGGTTGTTCCTCTCTGAGCTCATCAAACGGGTTGGTGGTCTCAGCTGTTATCTAAACAAGATTTAGAAAGATATGCTGTTAACACTTTTTGACTGGTACATCATTTCCTAAGATGCCTTAAAAGTTCCCAGGAAAGAACTGTGTCATTGGGTATTAATAATGGGGAAAAATAATTTCTGGTAGAGTTCAGCTGTGCTGATTTTAAAAACATTTATGCATTATTAATTTAGGAGTTAATTAAAATGGCTGCTTGCTATTTTTGTAATGATCAGCTAGTTGATTCTTTAACTAATAGTTTTCAGCCTAGAGCTGAGGCTGATGGGATTCATTCCCTGGGAGCCATGAATGTCTGTAAAATTTCATAAAACCTGGTAACAAAACACAAATCGGATTCTTCTGAGGAACATGTTACTTTTCCACAGCAGGAGGCTGCAGACTGTGAACCTCTGGATGAGCTGTATGATGCACTGGCTGAGGTGGTGGGAGCTGAAGAGGCTACTGAGAGCTACAAGAGCTACTTCATGGTACCAAATGCACATCACTCACTGGGTTTAAAACCAGGCTCTTTGTGGTCTTGATGCCCATCGTATTTGTTTTTTATTAGTTGAACTTAATAAAAAGTGGTTGAATCATAGAGATGTATCTTCCCAAAGAGGTTACCTTCACTGGTCTCTCTTAAAGACTGGCAATAGTCTTTATTTTTGTTATCAACAAATCCCAAGTGCAGATCAAAACCAACAATCTGTTAGATTGTCTGTAGCTCTGAGTTTAAGTCCATTTGTTCTTACTGAAGACATAAACCTTAAAAAACACCCCACATTTTTTTTTTTTACAAAGGCTTAGATATTTACTCAAACAGTTGGTCACTGTATTTTTGAAATAAGAGAAAATAGAGCAACTCTTGGGGACTATTTTCAGCTGTGGATTAATCCACATTTGGCACTCTAGTGAGGGCAGCAGGATGGTATATGTAGGACTAAGCCAAAATAAACTACAGTATGTGTGTGTTCATGGTGATAAAGGAACATGTTACTCAGTCCATCAGTGTGGCTCACTATGTGTTTTTAATAGGTTTTGGACAACTGTGGCACAGAGGAACAAGATAAATCAGACTTTGATAACACACACACACAACTTGTTAGTGGGATACACATGGGATTTAATGGAAAGAAGGAAAATATAGAAAATCACCAGACTTATACTTTAAAAAAAAGTTGCAGATGGTGAGACAGCTCTTCAAAGAACAACAAAAAAAAGACTAATAATAATTTACCTTAGGAAAAACATTTTATTTTGTATTCATGACATTATTTGGTTGTGATGTTCGAGTCACAGTCTTATGTTTGGTGGCCTGTATATTTTATTTCCTTTTAGTTCATTAGCTATACTGTTAATCCTGTAGAGGGTGAAGGGCTGGCTGGAGCCAATCCAAGCTAACACTGAGCAAGAGGTAAATAAGTATACAGAACAAGTAACAAGTACACTGATTGTTTCTGCACACAAACTATAAAATCAGTGCACTATAACAATCAGGATGCACTTTAGTACAAACTGTATACAGTTAGTACGCAGTATGGGACTGACCAGGGACCTTTATCACAGTTCGCCCTCCTTGCTGTCTTTGCCTCTCTGTCATTAACAAACCTTTACAAAAAAAAAAACACCACTCTTGTCAGTAACATCTTGATTTGTGCTGTGCAGCCTTCTGGTGATGCTGTCAGCCTGGTGGAAAATGTTGCTTTAATCTCAGAAGGAACCACGGGCCTAGTGACCTGGGAGGCTGCCCTCTATCTGGCAGAGTGGGCTCTGGATCACCAGCAGGCCTTCACAGGCAGGTATCCAACTCCTAAAACTACTGTACTACCAGAAGAACTTCATTCTTGAGGGAAAAATAATTGAATTCAGTATAAAAGCCTCAGACCTTACTAGATTTCAATTCTGTGTTAAATGATTTTATCACTAATGGGAGTGACTTCCACCACTCAGTTTTAAAATTTATCTGCAGGATGGTTCTGGAGCTGGGCAGTGGCATGGGGTTGACTGGTATCACCATCTGTCGTTCCTGCGGCCCAAGAAGATTCATCTTCAGTGACTGTCACCCCACAGTCCTGCAGAAGCTGAGAGACAATGTCCAGCTGAACACTCTGACTGAACAGATGCCTTCTGCAGTCAGTGTGGAACAGCTGGACTGGACGGCAGCGACAGAGGAACAGATAAAACAGATCGGGGCTGACACTGTCATTGCTGCAGGTCAGTTTAGTGTTATTTCCTGTAGGAAGGACATAATCTCTGGGTTACCAGCGCGCGCACACACACACAGTGGATACCAGTGTTGCTAGCTGTTCTACATTATCAAGTCTATTTTCTGTTGCTGATCGAGGACTGCGTTTTCAGTTTGTTCCCAAGACGTGTAACTGTGTAAATTTGTAGAGCAGTTTATATTGTAGCAAATGTATAATAGTGCATGAATACTCATAAGCATACTTGCTAGATTGTAATGAAATTTGAATTTGCATCTTTCTTCCCCAGTGTTATTCCTAATTTCATTTCACTTTTGAAACTCCTGACTCCTTTACATACAGCCTCATTCAGCAGTACGAGTGATGAAACCTGTTTTTTTTTTTCCTTCTGTGTTACAGATGTGGTTTATGACCCTGATATCGTAGAAAGTCTAGTGAAGCTGCTGTCCAAGGTCCTGAGGTGTTTGTCTGCTGAGATCCTCATCTGCTCCACCATAAGAAACCCAGAGACTTACCGCAGCTTTAAACAGCAGCTAGGTAAGAGCCCACCAAGAGGAGGTTCTGTTCCAGATGTCAAGACTGAAGCTGCACAGAGTGAAACATTTTTTACTCTTGGGGGATATTTTTGTGAATAAACCTAACCACAAATGGAGCAGCACAAATAGCCAATTTGAATGTGCACCTCTTCATTAACAGGCAACAGTCAGCAAGCTGAAAGGAAAGATTTATGATACGTTTGTGCAGTTAAGTTTGCTGAATCCAACTATGAGCTAACATCATGGATGTAAAAAAAAGTTGTTTGAGGCCAATTACATTTATACTAACGTATTGTCTGTTTAGCCACAGTCTGACATGGTCGAACTATTGTAGATACGCTATATAAAACACACAGGCACAGCTGTGTCATACAGTAAATCTTCATAATGAAGAACATATGAAAAACTGCATTCATACATCTTTCCTATGGCATGAATGCAGAATTCGATTTAACAAACGTGAAGTTACTTGTAACTTTGTACATTCTTCTACAAATGGAGGCTTTAGGATGCTGTGAAGAGTTTTCTGGCTGAAATGAGTAAACTGACTGTGTTTTGTTTTGGCAGAAAAGGCGCAAATCAGCCATCATGTGATCACAGGACCCGTCAGCCACGTGTTTCCTTACAACAGAATCTCCGCTATAGAAATGATTAAACTGTACAGATGACACCACTGTAGCACAATAAAGATTGTATTTACAACTGTACATCATATCAAAGTTTCTTCAAGTGCTCTGAAATGGGAAATAAACTCAGGAATGAAACATTTTGTACAGGCGGACAAGGCACTGAAGCTGATGCGCTTCATTTTGTAAAAGTTTATCCCCTGGTTAAGAATGTGCTGGTTTATGTTGGTTTGTTAATACAGAACTGAAAATCATCCAGGCAGTTTGAAACACTTCACTGCTAACAATGAAGTTAAAAGGGTATCACGACACTGATCTTACATGTACTCTAGTCTGAACGCTCTGGTACTGTCTGTTAAAAGCCTGGTGTTTATCACAGAGTAGTGAACAGAGGCAGGACGTTCTGGTCCCAGTTCTTATCCCAGCGCTGTCCTCTGTTGGCTCGGAGGTTCCTCCTGAACAAACCCAGTCTGCCACCTGAACTGGGAAACTCTGACAGGAGAGACTGAAAACACAAAGCCACATCACTATTACTCATAAAAGGTTTAACAGATGTTGTGGGTCAAGAAGGATTTTAAATGTTCAAAAGAGGGTGCAAAACACAGGGCAGACAGAAATTACTGCCATGTCCAATATCTGGTCGACAGCCCAGCAGTTGGTGTCATGTAATTTAAACTGAGATATATTGAAAACAACTTTCACAGTAGCCTCCAGTGTGCACATTGACAAACAAATGTTTCAAAATTATAGATAAGTAGCTGTCAAACTGTTTTTACTTGAACTTAATGAACTACTATGCACAGGCAACAGTTCTATAGATGCGCTGTGATATTTTAACCCCAGCCCAGGAGTTTAAATAACAAAAATAAATATGAATTTGGTCAGATATAGCCTGGTATGTTTAAGATCAGATGTCTGACTGTCAAAATGTAAAAGTTGAACCATGTTATTTACTGTTAAAGTCCGATCCCTCCTCTCACTATACATTACTCTTTTAATAAGACAATTAGATTTTTAAGACATATTGTTGAAGGTCTAACTGACACGTTCAGATCTAAGCCATCTGTGGAAGAAGAACTTAAAAAGTGTGGATGACTATGTATGTGCATTGACATTAGACTCAAATTTCATCTAAGCCATTAGTAGGCCAAAAGTCCATTGACATTAGACTCAAATTTCATCTAGGCCAAAAGTGATAACATGAGGCAATTTCATTTGACAATTCCTGTGGAGATGGGAAAGTCTGTTGGTAACGACAAAATGTAATCACTAACATCCATAAAAGCGATACATCTAATAGTTTTTACACAGTCCCTTATAAATATAATGAAGCCCATCTGAAGTGAGGCACCAAATCTTTGTCTCTTGGTTAAAATGTTCATGTGTTACATAAAACTCTAAAGACATAAAAAGCAGCATACTTAGGCAGATGTTTCTCACCTTAAGCTGCTCAGCGAGCTCCTGAGAGTCTCTGAAGATCAATCCATTCTCCTCGTGTTTCACCAACTCATGTAAACTGAGAACAGACAGTTATGTTAGTGTAGATACTCATATACACTTGTATTACAGATTATTTAGTTTCCTTTCCAGCTTCCAAAGGCCAGTTTGTTCTTTTTTGTCACTTTATTTTTGAATTTTTCTGTGCAAAAAACAAGGGGTCATCATGGGCAATATTATACAGGAATGAGCTCTTCATGTAGTCACAAAACACTGTGTTATGCCCCTCCAACAGAACTCCAGGACCCTGATAGTTTTTCCACATGATCACATGTCTCTGAGAATCTCAGAGACATTTTTAATCTTATTTTGGAATAATCGGACCAGAAAATTCTTTGGCTGTGCACACAATAACCTGTCATAAACTAAAAAACAATTTTATGGTTTTTCTGATATGTTCATTTTTGAGCTATCTGATACAACTCATTCATAATAACAATACAGCAATATCAAAGTCAAAAATAGACAATTTTATCATTTCTATTCTAAAGGCATGAACAAAAAAACAAAGACCAAGCATTTAAAGATCAACAAATAGCTGGAGGCTGCAGTATTCATTGTCTCTTAGTACAAAAGATGAAACAAAAAGAGTATCCTGATGATTGAGCTGTTTAGCTATTGTTTTACCAGTATTGGAGGTAAACATAGACAATTCTGAGATCTGGGTGACAGAAAAGGTCACTGTGTCAGTTTAAGTGTGTCAAATTTAAATTGGGCAGCCCTGCCTTTCCTGTACAGGGCTCACCAGTTGAAGTGGATGGCACAGACAGGCAGGCAGCAGCCAAACATACAGGATCTGATGGCTTTCTGTCATTCAAACAGAGGTGTCTTTTACAGTTCAAGTTGAAAACTAACTGTATGAACAGGCTTTGACATAAACCATGGCCACAGTGGGCCACCAAATATCCCCAGTAGATGGTCCACTGTGGCCACCGAGCTTTATCAGGTCTCTACTGAGAATGAGACCCTGTGTCTCAGTGAGATTACCTGGTTAAATAAATTTAATAACACCCACTGCATGTCACCAATAACGCAACCTTAACATTCCACAAACATCCTGATTAATTTGCTCCCTTTTGGCTCAGCATTCTACAAAAACTGCAAATGGGAAGGCTCGCTGCCGTTATGTCAGGGCTGCTAGAATACAGGTTTACCAAGGACCTGTCACCTCTAACACGGTCGCTACAGAAGAACCCGTGTTGTGTTACACTGCCTTTTCTGCATTGTTTTGACATACATTTACATTTAAGCCACCAAATTTAGGTGCTTGATGGCCCATGGAGGCAGTGCTTAAAAATATTAGCATCTATCCCTGATGGAACAATATTTTACATTCCTTTGATCATATGTTAGATAAGAAAAAAAAGCTGGCTGTTTTACAATATATAGCAATGTAAAAACATAAAAGACAGGGTGGTGGTTGGCTGGTGATGGTGTTTCATGGTTTACTGTGCTGACGTTATCTGTAGTTGTGCATAAGAGATGATACCTAACGAACGGGACATGCATATAGTCTCTGTATTTAACCATGTGTGCTGCTGCAGGATTATGCCGCTGTAACTGTAGGTCAGTGTTGTTACTACAGGTGCATATCTGATGTGGAAGCAATTTTTGGTTTTACTCTTTATGCTTTAAACTGTAACATCAGAATGAGTTGAACTTTATCACACTGAATGTATGAACTTTCAGCTTTTCTGCACAGCAACAAGATGTAGCGTAACCTGCCCTTGAAAGGTCTACTCCCATGCACATATCTATCTCAATTCTCTTTATTTCACACTCACTAAAGGCTGTTCAGTTTAGTACAGGTAAACAGGGATTTTTCCATCACACTGAAAGGGGCTAAACACAAGCACACAATAACTGCAGTATGTAACGTTTGTATCAGTCTTACCTAATAAGACGGGATAGTCTTCTGCCTCCAGCCAAGGAGTACAAATCTTCACATGTTCTAAGTGTAGTGAGTCAATCAGCTTCTTGTAGTGTTCTTTTTGAGGACCTTTACCTGCGCTCACACACACACACACACAAACTGAAAACTAAAACCTATTCAGAATCATATATATGATTTACAGTAAGGCAGCAGAGGTGTGTACCTGTAATGACACAGACTAAAGATGGTAACAAAGCTCCTTCTTTAATGAAGCCTTCATACTCTGTTGGGAGAAACAGGTGTAGCATTAGAAGTGATGCAACACACAGTGCTGTAGTTTAGGCTCCGTGTGTAACAGAAGGCAAATAGCAGCAGTTTAAAAACCGCTGTACCTTCAAGAGCCTTCAGTAGAATGGAGAAATCTTCATCCTCTGTGGAGAGAAAGCAGATGTGTGTTAGATTCATTTAAGTCACTATGTGTAAAAGTTTAAGGACTCCTGCTCAACTTGGGGACACTGATGAAACAATGTCTGATGCAGAGGTTAGACGGGGTACTTTTTCTACAAAAAACTATGGTCATCAGAATATTTTTAAAAATGCAATAATCGTATGAAAAATAAAAATAGTCAAAATGCATCTTGTTAGGAATAATACCTGAGAAGTTGTACATTCACAGATTGTGGTCATGGTGTGAAGGCTACCAGTGAAAACACACTGGAAGTGAACAAATCACTTGATGCTTTTTTGCATCACAATGCTGATCCCACAGTGCCGCATGGATTGAGTCACTTATGCCTCGTAGAATATAAACAGGGAGAACTTTGCTTTGCTGCACTGCGTTTAGTGGCTCTCTCCCACCGACTGTTTTGCTATTTACTTTTCAAAGCTCTTTATACTTCAAACTATTGGTCTTTACATTTATTGGGGCTCTCAAATTAAATTGTCCAGTTACTAAAAGTTAGAATCAAGAATTTCAGAGAATTGGCAGCATTTATTGTCTTCTACAGTTAAAAATAATCCTATATTACATAAGGAAAACATATTTATCACAGAAAGCGATCTATAGCTCGTATAAATGATATACAAAATGCATGTGCCTGTATATGCATGTTTAGATTTAGTCATTCATCTTAATGAGTATCATCTTTTCCTCTGACCTGTCCAGCTGGTGCTGCTGAGCAGCAGCGCCGGGCGCTCTGCCCTCAAGGTCACCGTACCATCAGAGAGGTCACGAACTGAGAAGGTCGTCCTCTCCAGCTCCACATCCTCAGAGCTGGAAAACTCAGCAGGTCAGCAAGGCAACCAGTATGATAATACAAGTCACTGAAAGCCTGGCTTTCCCCCCAAAATGTACTTTAACTAAATGTTTAACAATTAAAAAAACATTTTTCCCTACCCAGTATCCGCTTATTTCAACCCGTTACGATCAGCTTATTGCAACACTTTAAGATAAATATTTATACCCACAACAGCATTTAAGATTTGTAAAATAAAAATATTCTGCGCATCTCACACCACTTGGCAAACATGTACTGGTCTTTGGACACACTGAGGTCTAGACAAATATCTTTTCAATAAAGCTTTGTGGTTTTAAATAAGGATTAGCAAAACATGATTTTGTAAGGATAGACCCACATGTTCACGATAAAGAAAACGATCAACTGCACAACATTGCTGTTATGCTTTGTGCTTTTTTAAAGAACAGTTTGTGGCTGAAATACTTTGACATCATGTTAACAGGATGGTGAGAAAAGGTTTTGTGGTGTTTTTCTATTCTTTAACTGCTCACCCGCTGTGCTGGAACTGAGGATAAGTGCTGGCCAGTCTCATGAAGAGCTCATGCTGCAGCTTCAGTGGAGTCTCCCTGAAGATGGAGGCTGGTCTGTCGTACAGAGTTGTCGCCCTGCAACCGAACAACGTCGACCCAAATCTTCACTTTTCTCATTTGTGTTAATGAGGACGAATGGATTGAAAGGTATAGTAGCTACAATTTCAAGCATAATTCAAGCAAAGGACATCTTCAAAGGTTTTCATCTTCCAGTTCATTATTTCAGTTCAAAGTTTATTTCATTTTCATGCTGCTAGAGTCCGAGTCTGGCAATAGTTGTTCTGTCAGTCCACCACTTACACATATCACTGCCATGAAATTTGTTATGGATACCCACTGTCCCCAGAGAATGAATAGTTATGATTTTAATAACCCCATGAACTTTCTATTAGCAAAACCACAGGGACAAATGTCACTATTGCCTACTATATCTAATGGGTATTAACGGATACTCATGCATGTGCTTATATCACAGTGGACTGGAGCTTCTGTGAGCCATTAAAAGTCAAGTCAGGATCCGCGTTGTGTGGTGGTGCTGAATAGAGCACAGGCGTAAAGTAACTTTCTTCATCTTTTCAATTTTCTGCACTATTATTTACAGCTGTCACTACTGTTTTTATTGTCTGAACTATTAAAATGTGGGCCACAGTTGGTCACTCTCTATCAGCCTCATCCTGTCTCTCACCCTCTTGTGTGTGTTTAACAAAACAGTCTCCCAGATTTTCTATTTCAGACAATTTTCTCTGCCACAGTGGTCAATCAGCACTGATTATACAGGCACAGTGGCTAGTCACATGAATTATTATTGAGGTCATAGTTAAAGGCGGTGTTGTACTGGACTACTATATTTTTGTCCTCCCCAGCTACATATATGAGAGGGTCAGAATATTAGGAACACCTCTGAATAAAATGTAGTCCAGTACAACACCACCTTTAACTGTGACCTCAATAATAAACATATAATTAAATTTATATATTTATGACAATTTCACCAAAACCTGAGACATTTTGAGCTTCATGGACACAGATGTTAAGTGTTGTATTGAACTGCATACAACTGTACGGGTGTACCTAATAAAGTGGCCGGTGAATGTATACTGTAACACAACTACATGACAAAACAAACGTAAAATAAATCCTACTTGATGCCCCAGTTTCTGTGCAAGTCGTCCTTCATTGCGTTGGTAACGCACAGGTTGCGAGTTGCCAGAGGGCCAAAGAAGTGTTCATACCTAGAAGACAGGAATAAAAGCATATCATCACTGTCAGAAATGAGAGTTAAATGTAAATCTTTATAGTCCATATACAGTAAATACCAAGACTGAACACCACAAAACTATCATTTCTCTGTAGAAAATTAGAGAACTCATAACAGCCATAAAAAATATTAGCCACCACAGACAATGTTGGCTGTTGTAGTCACTATTAACAATCTCCAAAAAGTTCAGTGAACTGCCACCAAAAGCCTCACAATACTGCAGTACTGACCACTTTGCCAGTCGGACCACTGGGTGTCTTTGGCCGTGGCTCAGGGCCATGATGGTGTAACCATAGTTATGCCAGTCGATTATAAATCTGCTGCCTCGCAGGACACACACCAGCCAGGCCACTGCGATGTTGGGTAATCCAGGAGGATTCTGGTACACAGACATCATTAATAATAGTAACAGTGATGTAGGCATGGAAACCAGCTGAGTTGGCCACATGAAACCTAGAAAAATCAGTATTAAAGAAACTATAAGCAGTCTATGAGAGAGTTAAGAAAAATGTCCCTCCTGTACACTCCGTTAACGCAGTAGATTTTAAAATAAAAAGGAATAATGACAAACAGGTCTACAACTATTACCACTTAATTATACTGATCATTATTTTACAAACAGTATGTACTGATTTAGAATATAGACCATCAAATGTTAACAAATTATGACCAAACATTCCCAGAGCCAAAAATGATTCAGTCTACAAAAACACCAAAAAGGTGAGACAGAGGAATCGGAAACCAATGGGAAAAGATGTTTCCATTCATATTGTTCACTGATTAATCAATTAAGTATCTTAAAAAAACAGTACACAGTATAAAACATTAGAAAAACTTAGCATAGGCCATTTAGCTCACAGGTCCATCCATCTATAGGTACATACAAAGTTATTAATACTTATTCTTGAATCCTGAAATCAAGATGAGCCAAACCTGCATCAGGATATGAGACTGTAGCTCCATCCGCAGCAGCACATGAAGAAGCTGCAGAGACTGTACGATCACCTTTGTCACATATTTGAGGATTTTTGGCCCTACCAGAAAAGCAACACAGCACTTTGTGCAGTCTATATAATCACTTTTCTAAGATTTTTCATTATCCAGAGCAAAACAGAATGTCAAACATAAAACAGAGTATAACCCAAACGTAGTTACCTTGAACCCCTTTCACTTCTGCTATTGGGGCTATCCTGATTTTCTCCTGTCTCAGGACATCTTGATGGGGTTTGGTGTCTGAAATAAGAACAATTCAGCAAAAACAACACTTTTAGAGATTAAATTACAAGGCATTTTTGAACGTGTCTGATTGTTAGTTCATTTTTTTTGTGTTTTCCATTTCCACTCCTTTTATTTTGCTACCCATTTATGCAATGAATGTACTTCATACTAAGCACAGGAGTATATTTTGCCATAAGAGAATCTTCAAAATTACTTTAACTTTTCTTGAAAATTACCAATAACTTCAGATAATGTGGCTGTAGTTAGTCATTAATCATATGGTTTGTAGATTGAAGTGCGTTTAAGCAAGATGAGTCTGTTGTTGTGTGCGGAAGTCTTACCTAAAAACCCTACAAAAGTAACATTATAACCGTGTTTACTGAGGGACAAGGAGTGGTACTGCATTCGAGGACTGCGACCGATGTCCCCCAGCACCAAGACACAAACCCGCCGCTCCGTCCCACCGTCCTGCTGCCTCAGCTTCCACAACCACAGCAAGGACAACACGGTTAAAACATTCAGGCCCACGAGAGGCCATGTGACATATGAATCTGTTAAATATAAGAACGACAAAAAAGCCACAACTAGCACAAACACTATCAAAGAAGCCGTCCCGGTGCCATGTACCGCCATATTTGTTTATGATGACGTGGAGGAGAGCTAGGGGAGGAGCTTCGAGTTTAAAGGGACCGCACTGTTTATGTTAACTTCATATATGTATACAGGTTTATTACTGTATTTTGGATGCCTTGAATCTCTACAGGTTTGAAAACTTTTTTATTAAAGCAATCAAAACTTTATATATATATATATATATGTGTGTGTGTGTGTGTGTATATAATGGTAACAACAGTTCGCTAAAACTGCCCTTTGGCACATCACCCAGATATGACATTAAGAAAGGAATTCGCCAGGGCTGTCCCATCTCTCCTTACCTCTTTTTACTGGTAGATGTTTTTAATTTATTTGTAACTCAGCATTTTTTTAAATGCACCAGTCCTAATAAAAATATTACAGCTAACTGACGTCACTACTTTATTTCTAGACATTAAAACTGAAGTCTCTCATGATTTATCTATTGCGAAACTTCTCTAAAATATCTGGTGTAAACCTCAACTTAAATAAGTGTGAGATTCTTAAAGGCAATTTAGAAACAGAGTTATATAATATTCCAGTAAAAGATACGGTGAAATATTTAGGAATTATGATCACAAAGCATGATAAGAAAATGATTAATGATAATTTTGGCCTTTTAACCACAACAAAATGAAATTGAATTCTTGGTTAACTAGAGATTTATCTCTATACAGTAGAGTCCTACTCAGCAAAGTAAAGGCCCTGTCAAGAACCTCATATCTCTTCTCCTCAATTAATGTCACTAAGCAAAAAAAAACAACAAAAAAAAAACAACTTGCTTAAACAGACTTATTTTTGATTTCATTTGGAAAAATAAACGACACAAGGTTTAAAAGAACGTTATGTGTTTCTTTGTTATTTCTAAATTTTTCTTCGTTTAACCATATTATAAAAATTAATTGGGTCAAAAGATTTCTAAACAATTCAGACGGCATGTGGGATATCATCCCAAATTTCCTATTTAAAAAGGTTGGTGGACTCGCTGTGGGCAAGCTCCCAATCAAACTCCAACTTCCATAAATCAGCCCCTTTTAAAATGAATGACCTAATTCAACAGAGGTCCAGTCAATTGCTGCTAGTAGCGTCACAATTACTGAAATGGAGATCAGTGTAGTGCAGTGAATGCATCTCAAGTGATTGTAGTATAAAGAAACCTGTGTCTAGAGGGTCCAGTCACTGGTTAATCAGTATTCCTGGCTATCATTACACCATGAAGACAAAAGAACACTCCAAGTAACTCAGAGAAAAGGTTACTGAAAAGTCAGGGGATGGATACAAAAATTTCCAAGGCACTGAACATTCTCTGGAGTTCAGTTAAATCCATCATCAAGAAATGGAAGGAATATGGCACATGTCTAAATCTGCCTAGATCAGGCTGTCCTCACAAACTGAGTAATCGTGCAAGAAGGAGACTAGCGAGCAAGGCCACCAAGACACCTGAGACTACTCTGAAGGAGTTACAAGCTTCAGCAGCTTAGACGGGAGGGACTGTTGCTGTGGCAAAAATTATTGTATTAAAGCTTGGTGAGTGTAGAATAAAGTCTTGATACCAACTCTGAAAGTTGTTGCATATTTATTCCATGCAGGGAAGGGGCAGTCTTCGTACAGAGTGCTAACAGTAACACTCTGAAGAAAGAGGTTCCTAGAATGGAGGGCTACCTCTCTTCTTATACACACACATACAAATGTAACAGAAATGGAAACAGATGCTCCAGTAGATACAGAACAGGATACAAGTTATCTGGTTCAGCATTCACACAAGCACCCAAATAACTGCATAGAATAACATAGCAACAGCCACAACACTAACCACTAAAAAGGGTGCTGATATAAATTTCCCATTACACTGTGCACACAACAACTATTGCCTGGGTCCTTCACCAGTCAAAAGAGGTTCCTAGAATGGAGGGCTACCTCTCTTCTTATACACACACATACAAATGTAACAGAAATGGAAACAGATGCTCCAGTAGATACAGAACAGGATACAAGTTATCTGGTTCAGCATTCACACAAGCACCCAAATAACTGCATAGAATAACATAGCAACAGCCACAACACTAACCACTAAAAAGGGTGCTGATATAAATTTCCCATTACACTGTGCACACAACAACTATTGCCTGGGTCCTTCACCAGTCAAAGCTTTATGGAAGTGTGGCAAAGAGAAAGCCACTGTTGAAGAAAACTCATTAAATCTCGACTAGAGTTTGCCAAAAGGCATGTGGGAGACTCCATGATCAAGTGGAAGAAAGTTCTTTGGTCTGATGAGACCAAAATGGTGCTTTTTGGCCATCAGACAAGACGCTGTTTGGTGAACACCAAACACTGCACATCACCACAAACACACCATCCCCACTATGAAGCACCGTGGCAGCAGCATCATGCTGTGGGGATGCTTCTCAGCACCCGGCCCTGGAGGGCTTGTAAAGGTAGAGGGTAAAATGAATGCGGCAAAATCCTGGAGGACAATCTTGTTCAGTCTGCAAGAGAACTACGGCCTGGGAGAAGATTCATTTTCCAGCAAGACAATGACCCGAAGCAAAAAGCCCTTGAAAAGGGCTGTTCATGCTTGATCCCTGCACAACCTGTCAGAGTTTGAGTAGTTTTGCAAAGAAGAATCGAGTAAAACTGCAGCGTCCAGATGTGCAAGCCTGATTGAGACCTGCCCACACAGACTCAGTGCTGTGATTGCCGCCAAAGGTGCATCTACTAAATACTGAATAGGATGAATATTTATGCAATCACTTATTTCCCATTACATATTTTATTTGATTGACATTATTTTGTAGAATCCTGTTTTCACTTTGACATGAAAGAGGGTTCTTGTGTTTTTTTTTTGTAAAAAAAGCCAAATTATTTTGACCATCATTAATTTATACAAATCAATAAAAGGCTAAAACATCCAAGGGGGTGAATACTTTTTATAGGCACTTTTAGTTGGTGGATATCTGCCTGTGAAGGCCTGCTGCCGGATAGAAGGTTAGAAGACTATATACAGCTGTCAGGCAAATATAGTGGAAAACAGTACAGTACAATATTTCCCTCTGAAATGTAGGCCTAGTGGAGAAGGTACATAGGTCGCTGTAAAGTACTGGGTAGGACGTGATGATGATCACGGTAATGACTATTATTAATAAAGTTGGGCTTCTTAATAACAACCCATCTGACGTCACTACTGCTTCCTCCGTCTCCGCCTTTAAAGGAGAGGCCGTCCGCCCTCCCTGCTCCTGTGAATGTCATATGGTTCATCCTGCAACCTTCAGGCTTCATCTGTCCAAGTGAGAACATGTGGGCAGCGAGGCTCCAGCTAACCGCGGCACTGGTTCTGTTTGCCGCAGTGTCCGGGTCGCGGGCGGAGGTGATCGATGACGTCCTGAGCAGCCTCTCCAGGGGAGCATCCTTCCTGGAGCGGCAACATGAGCACATCAACCTGGACGGGGTGGTCGGGTTCCTCATGCTGCAGGGTAGGTAAACAACTCCCGCGCTGCACAACGAGTCCACTGATTGAAAACCGACCAATCCTTTAATCTGCATGGAGAATATCTGCAGGGGTTTGTTTGCCAGGAAAGGGGTCAACGAACGTGGGTCACTTTTTAACTAATTCACAGGGAGCAGTGGGATTTCAGATTAATATAATAGATAAATATTATCTTGGCAAGTCTGTAAATATAAATGCTAGTAAGTGATTATTAAAGAGTAGCCTAATTGAGTTATCAATTTGTAATAAGCCATCAGCTAAAGTTAGTCAGCTATAAATTCCCAGCTAGGAAGGGACGTTACAACTTTTAGTAACATTCTCTACGAGCCCCACAAAGGTTGCAGATGAAACGTTAATTGAAAACATTACATTAATGTTCTAAAGATGTTTTTACCGATAAAAAAATGTTGTTGCAATGTTATATTCGAACCGATTTATAACATTCTAACCGAAATATTCAGTAAATGTTCTTAAAACGTTGTGAATGCAATGTTTGTTTGTGAACCTTGAAGCAACGTTGTATATTAAAAAAAACGCAAATGTTCTGGCTACAACGTTTGGAGAACCTTCTCAGAATGTTGTCAATGTAATGTGTCTTGGATAACATTCAGCAATGTTATTTATTAAACACTGTTAGAGCATTGTGGCTCCAACATGAGAACCTTCTCAAAACATTTTCACTGCAGTGTTTCTTAGATAATTTTCAGGCAATGCTATATATTAAACAAAGGTAGAACATTGTGGCTGCAGAAGAGAGAACCTCTGAGAACCTTTTCTAAAAAGTCGTTAGGGTCTGGTATCCAGTGAGAGTCTTTACCTGTCTTTGAACTCTTACATGTGGACCAACACCTATTGTCCTGGTGTGAATTTGGGTGGAATGGTTATGTTTGCATAACATAACATACCTCTGGTAGTGTGACAGAAAAGGTGGTCTCAGATGGCTAACTTCAGTTCAAGCAGGTCATTTATTTTAAGTGTTATTCAAGGTAATGAGGGCTAGTCTGTAGACAATTAATACTGAAAAGATATAGGAGAAGGAGATGGGTGCCAACAGCAGTAGGGTGAGTTCAGGGTTGTTGATGGGCCAAGCTGTGGAGCAAGAAGGTCACTAACTGGCTGGTCATGCTGAGCAGGTAGGGACAGAAGAGCTGGGAAAAGGCACAAGGTGACGATGAGCAGGAGGAAATGGAGAAGAGAGCACCGATCTGGCTGGTGAGAGGTTGTCTGAGGAATGGTGTAGGTCTGGAAGTAACAGTTCCGTGTGCGCAGTGTAAGTCCAGAAAACATGGGAGAAGGCAGGAGAGGACGAGGAGAAGACGTAGTAGAAGCAGGGGTAAAAAAAAAAAGGCAGGATACAATAAGGCAGGTAACAAACTGTTTCTGGGGACAAAATGATGCACGAGTTGTCTGTATGGACACGAGAACGAACTGGCAGAGGTGGTGATAATGAGAATTGCTGGCAGGTGTGTGGAAGAGAGAGGCAGGTGAAACCGAGCAAACCTGACAGGAACTGTTTAGGTAGAGATTTCAAAACAGAGTTGTAGATGGATGACAAGTTGTGTCTGAGTATACCACTCACCTGTTACCCCCGGTGCTTTAGCCACATAGACTGCTTGCTGGCCTGTTCGACTAACCTGTAAATGGTAAATGGACTGTATTTATATAGTGTGTTACACTGGCCAAAGCGCTTTACAGTAGATCATACACCATTCACCCATTCTCACACACGACGACAAAGCTACCACAACGGTGCTAGTCAAGCCACCAGGAGCAATTTGGGGTTCAGTGTCTTGCTCAGGGACACTGAGGCATGCGGGGAGACCGGGAGTCAAACCACCGACTTGCTGGTCAGAAGATGACTTGCCCTACCTCGTGAGCCACAGCCACCCCACCTGTAGGTTCCCAGTGCTCCTGCACCAACGACTCCAGGTCTCAGGCTGACTCCTCACCAGTTCTTCTCCTGCCTGCCCACCTGGCTCTGCCGCCTGCCAACTCCAAACTCCCTCCATACCACAAGCTATAGGTCACACCGGGGAACTCCTCTCTAACCCAGTGGAGTCTCCAAAAAACCTGTAGTTCCCAGAATCTTATTCATTCATATCTTTGTGAAAACTAATAAATTACCAATTGTCCTGCTTTTGAGCCTTGCCTTACCTTCCACCTTTGACTCCACTTTTGTTTTAGTTTAGCCTGAGGATCCACCGATCCTAACATAAAGCAATTAAAACAATTAAATTTATATTCTCCAGTGCTCTGAGACGACAGCAAAGCAATTAAAATGCACATCATGTAAAAACACAGTAAATTGGAAGATTATATGTCAGAGAATATATGTACTTTTGACTACTGTATGAAAAATAAGTGAGTAAATATGAAAACTAGGATTAAATGTAAAGTAAAAATTCAAATGTAAAATATTTTAGCTCACTCTCCAGTGCGCTGTTCACCTCCTGAAATAAACAAAACATGTTTAGCAGCAGTTACTGACAGCTTAATTTTGTCAGCTTTATGTCCTCAGGTTCCCGGAAGACGGGCAGGAGAGGGAAAACTAAATAAAGATAGTGTTGCATAAAAGACCAAATAAATCATTGTTCTCACAATCGACTTCTAAATGGATTTTGGTCCGGATGTCCTGCAGCCCTTTTCCATAAAATAAGTGGTCAGTTTCTTTCCTCTCCCCTGAATCATCTCACAACCCCTCAGATTGATCTGGTGACCCATTGTATATTCCTGACCCCTAGTTTGGGATCCAGCAGACTAAACAGAATGAGCACTTTTACTGCTGATATTGACCATGAAATAACTGCCATCCCTAAATCCAGTGGCCATGACCTCAAATGTTTATTGTCGAGTAGTAGTAAACTGTGGATTTGTTTTTGTTTTTGTCTGTGTTGTTTTGTTTGTCTTAGCTGAACTGAAGGAAGCGGTTCGGACGTGGCCTCACACCGACCCAGTGAGCTGGGCTCAGAGAACCTCTGCTGTCACTCTGGTCAAACGTCTTGACCAAAGCTTCAACAAGGCTATTGCCGCCCTGCAGCAGAATGACCCCAAATACTACAGAGGTGAGATCAGTTGCATAAGGGCTTCATTTCCCAGAAATCCTGTATGATGATGCCACCTTCAGAGGGAAAAATACACAGATCCTTTATGCTGTTAACTACCAGGAGTGGGAGCTTGCATGTATTTGGCCAAGGACACTGTAATGAGCCTTCCCTTAATTATGCTGCTCTAAGCCTAGACTGCTGGAAGTCCTCCCATGATGCTCTGAGTTCTTCTCCTTTCTCTCCATACATCTACATGTCACCATTACGTGTCACTAACTTTGTGTCTCCTCTCTGTCGTAGTGTGTCCTCTCTCTCTCCCTGTACCTTTCTGCAGGTATCCCTGATTCTGGAGCTCTATGTTTCTGATGAGCAGTCACCAGCCACATCAACCTGCCCAGTGTTTGATTGTTTGATGTTGTGTCTTGTTGCTTTTCTTTTCTTTTTTCTCTCCTCTATCCACTCACCCCAACTGATCAAGACAGAAGGCCAAGAGCTGTGGTCTGTTGGATGTTTCTTCGATTTAAGGGAGTTTTTCTTCCCTACTGTCGCCAAGTGCTTGCTCAATGGCCATTTGTTGGGTTTTTCTCTATAATAATAATAATAGTAAGGACTAGACCTTACTAGGTAAAGTGCCCTGAGATGATTTTTATTGTGATTTGGCACTATACAAATAAAATTCATTTGAATTGAATATATGTCCTGTAGCAGAATACGCATGGATTTTAATTAAAACTGTGAGCAGCCAGGAACCTGAAGGGACAAATTACAAGCAGTGCAGTATGGTACTAGATTGACAATAATAAACTACAACTATGGGTATTGAGTCTGCACCTGTATAAAACCAGAGCCTACAGTGTTTACTTGCTCTTCCTCAGAAAGCTGTCCTAGTATGCAGCCTGAAGATACTCTATGTTCCAGAAGTGCCTTATCTACAAAAATAAATATTGTTAAGGGCCAATCCACCAACAGTTTCTCCCATTCCACCCCTGTGTGTCACGTACAGAGTTTGAGCCGCTGCTTTCGTGGAGTTTCTGGTTGATTCCTCAGGATTGGAGCACCACAGATCACAGTCTGGTCTACCCCTCCACCATGACCACTGAGTGTTATGATGAGCAGCTCAGTGACAAATGTTTCACCCTGCTTCTGGGAACCTGGTATGGACACACAACAGAACAGACAGCAACACGCCTCAATTGTCCTTTACAGAAGCAAAGCAGAACTGGCTGTAGATAGTGTCCAGAGTTTTTTTTTTTGCCATGGGTTACACCTCTTAACTAAATACTGCAGTAATGTAACATCCTGACATTTTTGACTTAAGGATGAGAGAACTCATCTGTCTGAGTTATGTGTGTCTATTTGAGCAGGAAAATTAATGGCACGCCCTGCATCGTCACCAAGCCCTGTCAGGACACCATGACTCGCTTTGGTTGCCCACACTATTCTCTGTCCCACCAGCTGCTCTACTTCATGATCGGAAAAATGGTGAGATGTTCAACAAAACACAAATCAAAACCACATTAAACCCAACTAACAAACTATTGTGTGCTTAATAAAGCCTGATCTTACTCCTTTATGCCACAGAACTCTATTGTCGCCCACCAACTATTAAAAAACCCAGAATAACCCTGTGTTAGTCTGGCTGTGTACATGGGATTTGTTAACAGTAAGAAAAATACAGAATAAAAAGATTATTTTATAAATTATGATTGGAAAAAATAAGCTTAAAACAACAGCTTTTCAATACTTTTAAAGGTAAGCTGCTTATTAGCTCTCATTATTTCCTGTATGTAAATATTTTTCCACAAGTGATAGTGAAAAAAAACTCAGGAGGTAACAGAAAAAGCTGGAATCCATTTATTTGGGTAGTGTGAATATCCACAGGAAATTTTTATAGAACCTGGTCACTGAAATCCTGTCCAGTCCTTACAGATGATAAAACATGAAAAAGGTTAGGACATACACTACCAATCAAAATAACAAGAAGATGATGGGAAAAAAAAGATGATGATGAAGATCAGTAGAGTCATTGCTTTATTAACTACCTCGACTTCACTGGCTTTATAAGCGTATCCTGGTCCGAATTTGACTGGTCTGTGTTCCCTTCTCAGAAAGGCTGCACCAACCTGCTGAAAGGCGACACACGAGCATCCAGAGCCAACATGACTGAACAAAACTACCAGAAGATCTTCTGTTCCAACATGATGAAGACCAATCAGGACATCATCAAGGACGGCTTAACTGAACAGACAGTGGACATCTTCATTGAAAACAGTGGGTATCTCCACTTGTGGAAAAAGCTGAAAATGAACTGAACACTGTGTATTTAGACTGGTTTCCAAACTCTCTAAGTTCATAAAACCCTTTGGATAATGTCAAAAATGTGAGAGGTGGGATAAACCCTGGACAGGCCTGACACTTAGAGAGAACCCACACAGGCACAGAGAAAACATGCAAACTCCGCACAGAAAGGCACCAGGTCGGCCCAGGCTCAAACCCAGAACCTCCTAGCTGTGAGGCAACAGTGCCAACCACTGTTCCACCGTGTCGTCCAAAAATATGTTGCAGTCCAGTTAAAACATGAATAATAAACAACAAATGTTTCAACTAACAACTGCAATGAAAAGAAAAACTGTATTTTTGTTAGTTTTGTGTTAAAATTGTCATTAACCAGATGTCTGCGATGGATTGGCGACCTGTCCAGGGTGTACCCCACCTTCGCCCGATTGCCGGCCGAGATTGGCTCCGGCCCCCCCGTGACCCCGTTCAGGGACTAAGCGGTAGAAAATGAATGAATGAATGAATGAACCAGATATGGAATTTCTTGTAGTGGTTAGTGTCACCTTCTGTAACAAATTATGCAAAAGATTGAAAAATCTGTTTGTATTAAACAAAAATTGACATTTTCAGTTAATGTTCTTAATTCACATTACTTACTGCTCAGTTTTTTTTGTGAGATGCTAAGGCCTATTTTTAGAAAATTGTTAATCAAGGGATACTGATAATAAATGCATATATCTCACCTATGGGTAGGACGCTTTACTTGTTTAGGTGAGGTTTAATCTCGAGGTAAAAATTGTGTTTTACACTGGAATGACTGAATTGCGATCCTGTGCTCTCTGTCGGCAGTCCTGATTTGTGGATTGGCAGGTTTCTCTGACTTCTACAAAGCTGACTGGCTGCAGGACATCCTCAGGATGCAGGATGAAGAACTCGGCTGCTTTGGGAGAGACAGTGAGTGTTTGAACAAAATTAAGATAATCATAACTAATCACTTAAATCTCTATAATGTCTGTTATGGATGGTTCTGAGTCTGAATTGTTCTGTGGGCTAATTCTACATCTCCTGCTAATCCATACTGCCTTATCAAATGAATCACGTAGTGACCTGTTAACACATCACCTCATGTCACACGGCTTTTACTGAGTCTTCATTCTCAGGCTGTTTACACTGATGCACCCTGGGTTTTCAGTGTGATCCATCCATATACTGTAGATCAAAGTTGTACATTCATAAGATCCAAAACTGAAAAATATCAGGAATCCATAGTCTTTTTATTATATGAGAGCCAAAATCTGGATTTCAGCAATTAGTGAAAACATACTGTAGGCTTATATTTCACTCTGCAGGTGTCAATAACCTGAGCCAGATTAAGAATATTATCTGAGATGCTCCATGCATGAGTTGGATGGTGTGTCTGTTCTTCTCTCAGAGAGCATCATCTCTCAGATCATTGGAGATGAGTTGCTGGAACAGCTGCAGCCTCACAGGAGGGTGAAGAGGAGGGAGAAGATACTTCCAGGTATGCATGTTTGCATATTTTTCAGCCCCATTTGGTAGGTCAGCTGTAACTCTAAAAGGGGCACCTCACTGATTTCACACATGAAACTCACAGTGACGATCTGAAAACATGAAAAATCCCTGAAACTGGTTTTCACTTTATTATAACCATTATTATTTTGGATTTTGTTTTATGATATTGCTATTGTGCTCCTGGTATTTTTTACTTGAAGGTGTTTGAAGGCCACGATATGCTAACCCCTGGACATAGGAATAAAGCTTAACCTCTCACTCATGCCGGTGGCATATTTGAAACATATTAAAGCTGCAAACACTGCTTGAGGTTGTATGATGGAGATATTCACTCAGTAATTGACTACCATGAACTTGCGAACAGAGTTCCCTGCAGACCTCCCTCTTTCATGTTATTAATTCAGGATAAGACCCCAAACCTCCTAAATAACAACAACCTGCAGTTTATTGTGGCAGCTACCTCCTTAAACCCTCAGATGTTACTGTACTGAGAAATTTTTATAAGCCAGTACCCTCTGGCTCTTTGAGGAAGTGTTAAATTTAGTCTGAAATAACCAATAAAAGCTGTGTCACTGGACACTTAAGACCATATTTGTTTTGCACAGTATTTAGTTAGTTAGAGATGTTATTAAGGATTTTTTTTCAACAAGCAATAAAATATAAACCTTAAAATCATCAATAATTGGCTTCCAATCTAAATAAATCATCAACTACCAAGTCTAATCATAAATTTAGAATGATTATACTGATTAAAATCATTATGGTTGAGCTAAGCTCTTGATCTGAATAAAAAGTCAAAGGTCTCACATCACCAATCCTCAGCTGGCTCTAGGCGGGCAGTGGCCGATTTGGCAATGCTTGTGTCTCTTTTTCCTTTTTGCCATGATTCAAGCTTTCACAAGGGAAAAGAATTTATAAACAAAAATATCAGAACCCATCCAGTTCAATCCTCAGAACTCTCGGAGAGAGAAATAGGACAAATTCAGATGAACAATGATTTTCTTGGTCAAATCTTGTATGACTCAGGAAAGCATAAAAGACATCAAAATGTCTAAAACTGTCTCCTTTTGGTCCAAATCTTCATAAAGACATGAAAATGTCTAAAACTGTCTTCTTTTCAAGACATCCTTTCCCCACCAGGCCAGGTGGGTTTTGGCTTTTTGTTAAATTCATGATTTCTTCATTAATCATCTCTGAAGCAGGAATTCAGTTTCCCCGCTGAACTGTGAGGCTCTGCCACAGTTTCATCATCCCACATCGGCATGCATTGCTCCTGCTCTGACAGGCCGATGCCTGTGTCCGAGCACCCAGAGAAGGGGCTCTCTCTCCCACGATGGCATGCTTCTCACCCCCACAGGGGTGCCCTCTCCCCGGACTGCCTCTCTGCAGTCCTCGGTCTCCTGGAAGTCAGATGGTCGACTGGACAGAGCCTTCGGCCACAGCTGTGAAAAGATTCCCGTTCCTCTTTTTGCCTCAGTTTTTATAGGATTCGTGGTCAGTTGTCCTTGTCCGCTCATCCAACCAGATGCCGCAGTTTGCAGTTGATACCCTATTTGGCGTGCAAAATCATATTGTTCTGAAGTATTGCATATTTTTTACTGTCCAAGTCCACTGCCCGTAACTGGCATCCGCCAGTGATCCAGCCTTGGATTCTAGTTCCTCTTTTCTAGAAAACTACAAAGGCTGGGAGTCCATTTGTTAGCTCTCCTTCCTTCCCCCTTTAATTCCCTTCTGTTCCTTTTTATTTCTTGTCACAGATGGTTGTTCCAGTCACATGACAGCAGTGGCAGTCGGTGCTCTGGGAGGGTACTTGAATTACTACCTGACAGAACAGGACATAACAAAGAGGCCACTCTCATGAAGTCCCCCCTCCACCCCAGGTCGCCCTGCTGCCACACAGTGGTGGGGCGGTCACAGAAGGAACATCAGGTAGAGATGTTCTTCACAGTGGCAGACTGAATCCCAACATAATAACAATCTTTATTTACCTTAAATTATGCTTTGTTTTATCTACTGAATATGAATATTAACCTCTAGAGTCCCTGCGTCCTCATATGAGGACCGCACAGCTTGGGTTTCCAAAGCTCAGGACTCTAGAGGTTAAGGTGGCTGTACAACCAGCACTGACTAAAGAAGATCTGCATGAACCAATGAATATTTGTGAATGAACTTAAAATACAACATACAGTAGAAACTGTTATCATGTATTTTGTGTTAGCAAAATAAACACAACTAATAAAACAAAGCCTGAATATCATTTTCATCCTCTTTAACATTGAGAAGTAGTGAAAATGTCCATCTCCTCTTATATTTGTGCTCTTAAGACTCTGATGTGGAGCTGAGGACGTACTGTGAAAAGAAGACAAACTGATTATGTAAGATTCTGCTGAGGGGCACTGGGATTATATCTTTCAGCCAGAACTCCCCCAGCTCAATTCAACTTCACAATAAAAACTGGGGTGTGTGTGTGAGTGTGGATGAGAGAGAGAGAGAGAGAGAGAGAGAGACCAAAAGCTGCCCAAAGGCAAACAGGCAAAGCTGATTTTGAGTTCCAGAAACATTAAGCTGCACAGCATATCTGCCAGTGATTTTAAGTGTGTGTGTGTGTGTGTGTGTAAACCAGGATATGTCTGCTTATTGTCTTGTTCCCACTGAATTTAGATAATCCACTGATAAAATACCATCTCTGTATACAGCCAGTGATGCCTTTGATTTAATAAATGAGGACCAGTAAACCTCAGACATTACATTGTCCCTCGTGTGATGAAGTCACTTGTTCCAGCCGGTGACCTCGTAGAACAGTGCCTTGAGTAGTCGAGCTTCGTAGGTGACAGTGTTCTTCCCAATGTGAATGTGGCTCTCCTCCAGTGGCTGCTCGATGATGGCTGGCACGTCTTTACCATACACTGCAGGTGAGCCAGAAAAAAAAAAACTGAATTAACTGGCTTAAGGCTTACTAGTGTCTCCTGAAATCTGCAATATTCATAACACACTACATTACGAATGTGTTTCTGAGGATTTTTATAATGTTAGAGCTAAAAATAATTAAAAAAAAATCTCTTATAAGCACAGTCATATTCCTCACTTGTGCCTTTTCCTTGTGTCTTAGTGCCTCCCACATAAGTTGCGAGGAAAAAATGCAAGGAGATATGCTAGGAGAGAAGACTCGAGAAAACACGTTAACGACATGAGATGTCCTTTCCCCTGATCCTTCATCTGAATTGTCCAATCACCCACTGATTTCTGATAAAGGGGTGTGTCTGTTGATAAAAAAAACCTCCATGATGGATACTCTTGTGTATCTTTGCTCATGCCTCTTCCAACACTGTCCTTGCTCGTTCATCCTCGCTTCTCAGAGCTGATATAAGAGACTTGGAACATCCTGAATCCTTGGTCAACTAACTGGAACAAGTTCTGGGTTGAGCAAGGATCAAGGACACAAGGAACGATAAAATAAGTGATTGGAGAAACATCCGCAGTCTGATCTAAAGGCAGAAGTAGAAGAAAGGCCACAGGTCAACCTTACAGCTTGCTCCTTTGGACAACATGAACCCGCTCAGCAAAGCTGATGAAAATCAGAATTTGGTAGTCAGTGGATTTTGACAGTCACTGAAAACTATGATGAAAAATATTCATTGACAGCCTATTATGATAAAAAAGAATTACTACATCTCATCTCTCAAAGTACTTTGCTCTGTTTCCAACTGACATGTTGACTATTAAAAGTGAAATTAAATGAAGCCTGTCATCACATTGATTGTGAAGACAATGGTACTGTAGTGCAACAGTCCATCAGTTGTGCAGCTGTGTGTGTGTCAATGCAATTGTTGTGAGGACATTTTAGCCCGTTAGAATTCTGTTTACGTTACTGCAGAGTCTGGGGTTAGGCGTTTAGTTGTGATAGTAAAGGTTCCGGTATGTGGGTAGGGAATATATTATGTCAATGAATGTCCTCACAACTACAGTAAGACATGAGTGTGTGCGTGCGTGCGTGTGTGTGTGTGTGTGTGTGTGTGTGTGTGTGTGTGTGTGGCTATTGCTCACCCTCACAGTGCTCCAGAAACTGAACACACTCCTGTAATACAGCATCTGTCAGGACGACCAGGTGTCTGGACATGTTCTCCAGCAGAGACAGGAAACAACGCTTGGAGTAGAACCATGTGTCTGTCCCCAGCTACACACACACAAATTTACATTTTACTCACATGCATTTGTCATATTTTAATACAACAACATTCATGTTAATTTAACAAGACTAATAATATTGTCCTGCTCATGTCTTTGCTTTTCTAACAGGATGATATGTAGCAGTGACATTCCTCTGTGAACCAGAATTTAGACGTGATGGTCAGGTTGTGGAAAGCGGGCATGACTGTATGTCTCATCAGGCTTCACATAATCAAACTCCTCTCTGCTTTTGCTGTGAATTCTGTGGTGAGATTGCTGTGAGAACGAGAGAGCACACACTCAAGACGATGGCTTGTGTTCTCAGCTGGAGCTTAGTGGACTCAGCTGCAGCCAGAGTCCGGGTTGTGACTGGATGAGGTCAAAGGTCCCAACAAGAGCAACTCGACCTCGGAGAAGACCATCAGTGAGAGAATCTTGGACAGCTAAGGTTGTTATTTTTGGTTCAAAGTGACCACAACTGATATTTCTCTTTCAGATGTGACATTTTAATGCTAATAAAATTAATCTTGTATTTATGATCTCCTGTCCATCACTCAGCTTCACAGCCTCACTCAGATAAAATACTCCCTGCTGGCTTACTGTGTCTTAATGCTGGAAAAATCTCTAAGAACACTTAAACGGCTCGCCTTCTTATTGTACGGCTCCAGGCTCTTGATGATGCGAGAGATGCCAAACTCGTAATTCCCTTTAGCACAGTACAGCGTCCTGAAAAATAGATGCAGTTTCAGAATATGAAGAAAACAATTCTGTTTTAATAATGTTCGTTTTAATCACCAAATTTCAATGGAACTGACAATTCAGTGGATTTCATTTCATTTGACTGATAGGACATGAAGTTCTACAGTTTGGTCATGTAATGACACCTTCCATTTACTGAAGAAGGCTGTGGGATAGCGTTCAAAGCATACGATTGATCGCTTACTGACTTTGATGGTAAAATAATTCAAACTTCATGAGACTCTCTGAGCAGAAAGAACAGGAGAACACAAAAATGCAAATTCAGATTATGAAAAGCTTCCTTCACAACTCTGCTGCTAAAAGCACCTCCTGTGTGATTCAAGCCCTCAGTCAGTTTTTGCAGCAGGATTAGTGAAAGGCAGCAGCAGATGGAACTCACCCGATGACCAGGTTGACGATGCAGAGGTGGAAGACTTTCTTCTCTGGGTCGTCATAAGAGATGTGCTCCTCCTCTTTCTCAATCTTCCTCATCAGCTCTTCAGCCTGTTAGATCAGGACAACATGAGAAGGAAACAGAGAGGCAAGACCGATTAGCGTCAGCTAAACTAAACAAGGCAGAAGAATGTTAATTAATCCTATAAATGATAATCCCACACAGAAACACAAGAGACACAACATGAAAGTTTCGAAATTAAAAGAAGGAAAACAACACCTGTTACAATAAAAAAAGCCCATTACTGCAGGCCCCAGCTAGAGGTGGAATAATTACTGAGATCCTGTACATAAGTATTATCGGCAGATTATAAAGTATTAAAGTATAAATAGTAAAAGAACTTATTACGTAGAACAAATGTTTTACTGTCACTGAATGAGTTGGAACTAATGTCAACTATTTTACATACTGCTGCACAGCAGAATCTAAAAATAACTACAACATTGCCATCTGAAATGTAATGGAATAGAAGTATTAACTGGCATAAAAAAGTAAAATTGTTCCGCACAATACTTTAGTAAATACTTTCACTTTGGGTCATATTTAGACCTGTATTGTAGCTGCCACTAAGTTTGCTTTTTGAAGAACTGTAGACAGAAAGGTGAATTTTGAAGCATCAGTCATATTATTCAGCCAAATGCCTACAGTCACCTATTACATCACCAACCACAAACTCTGCAGTGGTGGCAGCCTGCTTGTGTCACAAAATAAGTTGGGTTTAGCACTTTGTAAACAATTTGGAAAGAAAAATGAAAGATGCACGAAGAACAAGGAAGTAAACTCACTGCTCCGCAGCTTAGTAGCATCAAACAGTTTCAGAGCAGACTGACACTTCATTTCTGTTCATACCTCAGTAACAAAAAATACTATGTTTCTCTGACCAACAATGCAGGTGCAGGCTGGATTCCACTTAGTATTTATGAGCGGCGTGAGAATGGCGCTGCTAGCACCGACAGGATATCTGAAGAACTGTACATTACCTCTTCATTCTGGCTGGTCATGATGTAGGACACACACAGGTTGGCCAGGACCACGGCGCTAACATTCAGGATCTACAGTGACACACACACACACACATTTATTTATCATTAGCCTTTTAAGCATTATTTAATGAGTTTCAAATGCATGGCTGATACCACTTGTGTTAGTTTCATTTTACAGAATATTTTCATTCAGCACCAGGACTTTTAAGAAACCTTGGTTGAAACTAAAACAACCAAGTGGTGTTCTCAACATGATTTTAGACATTTTCTGTCTTTTCCTAATTCTCATTAGTTTAGAAAATTAAAATTTCTTCTGTGACAGTCATTCACAATAGAAAATAAAAGCAGCATTTGATATGTTAGAGGATAAATGTGACAACTGATGTCATTTCTCACCAGAACAGCAATAGGAAATCTTCAAATGGCTATAAAAATATAAATGGAATTTAAGATGTTAAATGCCACATGAAACCATACTCAAGAACATTACTTCACTTTGGATACTTTCAAACATTCCAGGATGTTACGAACCCCTACTAAACAATGCAGCACTGATATAATTATTCATTTTCACATTTCTTGTGCCTATTCAATGATGAATGGGTTCATTCCAGGACCCTCAGCTACATTTATCATGACTTTATTTTCTGAAATTTGACAAAACTCAAATTTTTTAGATGCAAGAAATGTCAGAAGCACCACAGCAAACAGCAGCAACAGCAAAACCAGGAAAATATCAAAAAAGATGTAATGCACAGATGTGAAGACACAGCAAAGGAGTAAAAACTGTTCGGTGTCTGTTTTTACCGAGGGTCCGCACTTGCAGGGACACTCCTGAATGTTACACTGCTCCATCTGAACAGAAAGGCAAACTGTCAACATTTCACCTTGACTCTCTAACTGTTGTAGTGGTAAAAGCAAACTGAATATAATCATAATAGGATCAGAATATAGTTAATAGTTATTAGCATATTTGACAGGTAAATGTTAATGCACAATATGTAGTATGGTCAGAGTGAACTCTCTGCTCCTTTGTACGGGTCTCTGCAAGAACATTGGGCCCCAAACTTCCTGTTGTTTAGCACAGTGTGCAGGGGGTTCCCAAAAATAGAGAAGTGTAACCAGGGTGGGGGCCCGGTTGGACGTCAAGATCTAGACAATTACAGGAAGTTGGGAAATGGCCATATACAGTAGTTAGCTGCAGAGCTGATCAGGAGTGTGTGTGAAGACCCGAGGAGAAGACTAGACCTGCTGACTGACAGCCTGACTTTCTCTGCAGAGGCCCAAACCTGACAGGTGATCCTGTTTCTTGCCCTCTCAATCATTATCATAAAATATTGTTCAATAAATGATGATTGGCACTGCAGTGATTCTCCCTGTGAATTGATTTTTGCCACGACACTGTCTGTGGTGCTGATAGGTGAATGACATTCTAGGGCTCCCTCCACACATTTATTTTCATCACAAATATGATCAGCCATTCCGAAGCACTCACATTATCGTAGTGCTTCTTGACGATGGGTTCGTAGAAGCCGATGGCTTCCTTGTACTTGTTCTGCATGAAGAGCACGTGGGCCACGTTCAGCTTCCAGGTGTCATCCTCATTACAAACTTCCACCGACTTGCGGAAGAGCTTTTCCACCATTTGGAAGTTCTCACGATTCCAGTAGATCTTGGCCTGGGCCATCAGGACCACAATGTACCTGAGACAAGACCCAGCCAATCAGATGGGAAAGATGAAAAAGGAGGTAATGAGGTGAAGCACTGCAGAGAGAAGAAGTGACTGCCTGAGCAAGAATTCCTAACATGGTTATGGATAGAAAAACCTGTAGTCAAGGATCAAGTAATCAGATTTTTAATAGGTTCTGCTATTTCTCTAATTATAAAGTCCTTATTTGTTTTGGTTCAATTAATTGAACTGGAGCCTTTGAATATAACAATAACATGTAGAGAGAATTATTTGTCAAACCTTTAATTTCATCTTGCTAAGAACACATTTCTTATAATTACTATTTCTTGTGGGGCATGAACCGTGCTTCACTAAAGATTCTAGATTCAAAGGTTTTATTTGTCACTTGCCCATACAATATGTGCAATACAGGGTGGAATGCTCTTGAAGCTGTGATAAAAAAAGGCTATTGTGGAAGGCATGAAAATAATTAGAAAGAAAACTCTCAGAGAATAAGAAAGTGATGCGTAGGAGTGTGTGTGTGTCCTCTTACTTCTCCTGCATCAGGTCATATTCCTGCAGGGCTTTCTTCTGTGTTTCATCATCTCGAGCGAGCCGGGCCTCCTGCACCTGCATATAGAAAATAAACATTCATACAAAACAACATCTAATAAATAACTAAAAACATAGATAGTTTTAAAACTGTGCAGAGTGGAACAGGAGGGAGAAGGTATACAACCTGCTTGGCCAGCTTACGCAGCTGCTCAGTTAGTCTGGCGTTCATCTCATCAAACTTCCTAAAAGCCTGTGAAATAAACAGACAAATTGCACAAACAAAAGGGTGAAAATGGTCTTATCTGATTTTATCCATGAATAAAAACACAACAAAATTTAAGCTAAAGCTTTCAGATGTAATATGTAAAATGGTGGAAGTGCAATCTTGAGATAAAGCTGCGCTGTGCAGGAGTTTTGTGCAAAAAATGTTCAACAGAATAAAACACATAATGGGCTATGAGTAACAACTTTCACATTACACTTAGAGGGTTGATCCATGGTTTACATTAAAATATTTATTCATGCTGCCTTTATTTTTAAGGCTTATTCACTTTGTTATCATCACTGTACCTCCTCTGGTGCTGTCTGGCAGGTCAACAAGGCATCAAGGAACTCATACAGGTACTAGAAAGGACAAAAAAGTGTCAAATTACACGTGGATTCATCAGTAAATTTACAAGATTCTTAAGCAGATGAAAATTTATTTTAATCTGTAAGTAAACAAGAAAAATAAAGAATCAAAACAAAGATTAGTTTATGCAATGTGATTTAATTAGGACCTGGCGTGATTTTTGATGAAACACTCCCATGTGAACAGAGAATGCAACTTACAGGGGAGAGGAGTTTGTAGGTGAGATGGGCGTTTTCTGCCAGGACATCAGCTGCCAGGTCAAAGTACTGAGAGAGAGAGATTGAATCCAGCAGAGATATTAATACCATTTTAATGAAACCCCACATCTCTCCGCAGCCCTCTGTGTTTCCAGCTCTTTCCACAAAGAGTCACACCACATGACTTCAAATCCTCTGTGCACAGACCCTCACTGGTTGACAGTATGGTGGAAACTGCAGACACAGTTCCTCATGTGGTGGAGGGTATCATGGTTTTAAAGGAAAATTATGATAATTCTCTGTATAACAAAGACAGCTCTCCAGGGTTGACATTGCCATTACGTCCTGTACAATCTATTAAAAACTGACAATATTTTGTGGACGTTTTTAGATTATAATCTTTTTAATGGCATTTTAATCACTATGTAACAGTGGTTAAGAAAATAAAATCCTTTACATACACTGAATGTTACTCCACGGGCTTACAAGTGAGACGCTACTGCAGCGATGACACCTGAACTAGTCTACAACAGGCCGCGAGCAGGTTAGGATTCCCTGACACACACTGGCCTGAGGTGTACCTCATGTTTGCAGTAGAGCAGCAGCAGGTTTCCGAAGGTGACGGGGGGGAAGGTGGGCTGCTGCAGCAGGAAGGCCAGCTTCTCAAAACCCTCCGATGGCTTTGTGTCCATGTTCAACAGAGCCTGGTTGTGGAGTGTCACTGAGTCCAGCTCCTGACAAAACACATGCAGGCATCAAAATATGTCCAGATAATAAATGTATGTGATTACTACACTCAGTGCTAAGTTAATTAGGTACACCTAGCTAAAGCTAATTACCTCCATGTAAGCCTTCACATCAATGTCTCTATTCTAATATTCCATTAGTCTCTCTTATCTCCAGGCTGTCAGTGGGACAGGTTCAGGCAGCTTTAATTCAGATTACAGTAGAATAAACACACAAATCTGAGAGTGTAGCAAATCCAGCTACACACAGAAAAAGAGTACACTGGGAGGAAATGGGTGATGATATTACCTCCTCTGATCTCGGGGGCATGTCTGTCAGAGCTTCCTGAGCTCCTTTCACTGCAGGAATCCAGATGAAAGCAAACAAAAGAGAAAAAAGGGGCTAATTTTAGTTTGTATCAGTGTTTGACTTTTATTTGCAAAAAAAGCTTTATAAATTAGTACAAGTTAAACAGACTAGAGGCTTAACAACTGTTATGAGGAAAGTTGCTGATCAACACTAAAAGGTGAACTGTGGAGTTACAGAGATGGATATGAACAATGCAGTAAATGAATAATCTGTAAAACTGTGAAGGTGTACCTTCACTATTTCTCACCAAAAATACTGTGTATGTTTGAGTTCTGAGAAACATGTCAAGCACATTTTCTTACTTGTGAGACATTTACAGTTTTATGAATTATTCATTTACTGCATTGTTCACATCCATGCTTGTCAGATTGCAGACTTGTTCCTTCATTGGTCAAAATCTTAATTAAGGATTAATAAAACGAATAAATAAAATTAAATGGCTGCAAAGAAGGTTTGTGATTTTGCGGTGGATGAGTCTCAAACTATGAAAACTAAGTGTACTTTATGACATGTACATGCACAATAAAAATGATTTATTCATTCCTTTTGCCTAATGGTATTAGTTTTTCCTTCTTCACACAGATAGAACTGTACTTCCACTAGAGGGTACTATTTGTACACCACTTTCACTTCTCTCAGGTTAAAAAGACAGTCATGACTCAGTGGCAGTGACAGACTGGACTAAGGACAGCTTCCCATCTGTACATTGATTTTAAAATGGATGAATATATATTTCAATAACTAAATAATATAAATAATATTTCAAAATACTTAAATAATACAACTGATGCAAAGCTAAGTTAAAAAGTTACCTAAACTTTCAAGTGAGATTCAATTTGGATGTTGACTAACAATCTACCTATTTCACTTTTTTTTCTTTTCCAGTGTTACACATATAGTTTGTGGATATAAACTTTGATACTCTGTTACTTAATGTAAAAAGATCTTTCATTGCATGATTCCTGAAACGTGCAGCATTACTTGGATTTTTGCACTCAGCAGATATTTGCGATACAGACAGGAAATATGGGGCGAGAGAAAGAGTAATTTAGAAGGGAGACTGTGGTTATAGTTAGTTAGTCTCTTAACTAGACTACCATAATGCCCCATTCAACTTCTTTTAATCTCTATATGCAGGTTCAACCTTACAGGCTCGATTCAGATCTGGCCTCAGGCACCTTTATTCTCTTGTCTTGTCTCAAAGAGGACATATTGCAGGTGATGCAGCTCCCTGTCATTTTGATAGAACAGATGTTTGATGTGGGCTTCAGACATCCTCCTTTACTACTTTTGGTCCTGTGATCACTGTTCTTTAAAGCTTTGCTCTGATAATGTGTCAGAGGGCTGAGAAAGGAGGGAGTGAAACTCTGCTTTTGAAGATAAAAAGCGGCTTTATAATGTCTTTTCTGTGATTTTCATCTTTTCTTATCAATTTCTCTTCTCTCTCTGTGGCTACATTCACAAACTTCTCAGTTCTACGAAAGCACTGAATTTTGGCTTGACTCATATATTCTGTAGTTGAGAAAGAATAACCCAGATAAACACATAGAGTATTATAATAATGTTGTCATGCTTGGCTGGTTTGCATAAAAATTAAAGTACCTTTGTAGAGGTAAACAGGAAATACTGTACATTGCCCAAAACAATTCCTATGATATAGTTGAGCAGCTGCAGGTGGTAGCATATTGTGAGTACAGCCGTGAGGGTGAGTAAATTCAGCAAATTCAATGTGTTTACAGTAAACCGCCAGCCTGACGTGACTGCGTTAGCGCCTGTGATCATCGTTTCATGGACATTTCGCACGCAGTTTCTGTTCAACACTTTTTTTAGCTTATCGTGTTTACGTATGGACTCAAGTTTCTGGTCAGCGGCGCTGTTCCAACGTTTATGCTTTTCATGTTTATGATGGACTTCAGCATTTCTTTGGATCTCATTAATGTTTGTTCAGTCTGCATAGCTTACTCCCCTTCACACCTGTTAAGTCAAGACATACTTACTGTACTGCTTCTTATGGGAAAATGTGTTCTCCTTCTTTCCTGCCAAGATGTTGTTCTGTGTATTTAGCTCTTGGTCTTTCAGTTTTGGTGATTATTGCTAAGTATTATCTTAACCTTTGCTTTCCCACATATATCTAGTGTTTAGCCTGAGGTCACTCTTGTTTATACTCTGCCATAGTGTTCACCTGTTTTTTTTTTGTTTTTTTTACTGTAATAAAGCTCTGCATCCCTTCAATACATCTACCTGGCTCTGTTTTGCATTTGAATCCACATCTAAACTATAATACAAACCATGCCAGGAAGGTATTCTTTCATTTAGCAAAAGAAGCTTGTTTAAGTCAGTTTTCACTGAGCCTCTGCAGTGCAGGTTTTATGCCTAAAATACTGGAATTCCTCACAGTCACTCAAATTTTGTCCTCATCTTTAGTGCTAGTGCTCATTTATGTGGTGTATGACAATTTCTGCTAATGCTATTCAGCAGTGGTAGAAGAACTATTTAGATCTGTTACCTAAATAAAAATATCAGTACTACAAAGTAAAAATACTCCATTATAAGTAAATATCACCAATTTAGAATCTTGCTTAGTAATATGTAAGAAAACATAAAGAAGTATTAGCAACAAAAAGTAAATAAGGCATTAAAAATAATCATGTATGCATTGTATTTTGTAGATTGATCATGTTTTGTCTGTAGCATCTTGATCTTCAAAGTAACTAATCACTACACGTCAGATAAATGTAATGCAGTCAAAAGTATAGTAAAAGCATAAAGGAGCATAAACTGGAAATACTCAAAGTACAAGTACCTCAAAATTGTTCTTTAGGACAGTACTTGAGTAAAGGGTCATTTCAAGCTCCCCTGCTGATTTTGTTGTTTATGGTGAACAAATCAGATGTATTATACGTCATTTCCTGTCCACTGCATTTCTTTTCCAAATGAAAAAGCAACCACACCCTTAAGAATAAAAAATGTACAAGCTCTTATGACATGGCTATAGGTTAAATCACTGCTGTGTTGTAATAGCAATGATGGTTACTCAAACATTTATTGCAGATGTGTGAGAACGCCAAAAATTATGATTTCAATAGTTTTTGTCCCTCTGTTGTCATGCTTTTATGATACATGCAAAGTTTCAGATGTACTGAGTGGGGTCCTTACAGTTCTTCAGCTGGTATTCAACAGCAGCTTTGAGGTTGAAGGCTTCGATCAGGGCTGTCTGATGCAGCACCAACGTGTTGCCCACGCTGTGGACGTCAATGCCCTCAGTCGTCATCCCAACACTCAGCTCTGGTACACAAAAAACAATATTGGTCAAAAAGACTTGTCATTCGATCAAATAGCTTAAAACAGACTGTTGTAGATCACTGAAACATGACTTTACCTGGATGTTCCCTGATGCCACGTTCTATGATCTTTTCAATGTATTTAAGGGCCTGACTGTAGTTTTTCAGGCTGTAGTAACACAGGGCAATGTTGTAAGATAATGCTGAGAAAGGAAGAAAAGAAAAAGAAAGACTATAAAAACTGCAGGATAAATAAGAAAATTCTCAAATATAAGCTAGCTGTAAGCAGAACACATTTAAAGGGCTGATATTGAAAGGTATTTTTGCAATAATAAAACAAACTAAAATATAAATATACAATACTGTTCAAAGGTTTTATACACTTGGCAAAGATCCCGTACATACAGCCAGAGTCATAAAGATGGCATTGTCCACTACAAAGCCCTGATCTCAACATCACGAAGACAGTCTGGGATTACATGACGAGAAGAAGTCACTGAGGCAGGCTAATCCACTGAATAACTGTGGCAGCCTCTCCAAGATGACTGGAACAACCTACCTGACAACAGTTTAACATGAAAGACTGAGTGAGTGAAATTAGAAAAACTGGCAGTTTTTGTAGGCACTCTCCAGAAGATAAGAGTATTCTTCTGAATTTTTTATTTTTTCAATTTGTGTCTGTATACTGCACTTTCATATGTTAAGAGTTTCTCCTCATCTAGCATCCCCCAAACTATTTGCCTCCAAGGCCCTCAGACTACAATATCAATCAATCAATCAATCAATCAATCAATCATTGTCACCTCAGGTAAATCAGATCCTAATCATCATACCTCGAGGTCATTTTAGTTAGTAGAAGATCATGTACAGTATAGTATGTGCCCCTCCTTGTGTGATGTTGCAGGTCTGCTCTTTTTCTCGGTGAAACAATGTTATCAAACAACCACCAAAGTTCTTCACAATCTGAAAGCAACTCCTCAACAGTGGAACCAGCAACATGTTGCAATATCTTGTAGTAAAAGCCAGTGTCACTGAAGGTGTATTCATGTGTGTGTCTTTGGGAAACTACCTGGAACATATCCCAGCACCTGCATGGCAGACATGAACTTCTTGCAGGCCTCCTCGTACTGCTCGTCCTGGTACAGTAAGCAGCCCACATTGTAGACATAGTCTGGGTCATCCGGGGGCAACTGCTCCAACAGTGACTGCTCCCACATAGACACACAGATAGACATATAGTCATTTCCTGAAGACTTACCCTAACCTTAAACCAAGTCATCACCCTAAAATTCAATGATTTACATGGTGAGGATCAGCACCAGGTCTTCGTGAGGGAGGCAAGTCTCCACAAAGTAAATGTGTTAACAGATTTTGGTCCCAGAAATCTGAATATTACAGGCACATACATAAGGACATTCATTTACATGATGCATTCCTTAGTGCCTTAACATACTTGACCTTAACAACTAAATGCCTCATCCCAAGCCTTATCCTAATACTGACCTATACCTAATTCTAACCCAAACCCTAAAACTAAGACTTAATTCTTGAACAGCTCTTTGAAGGACTGGTCAAAATGTCCTCACTTCCATGGACTAAAACTCAAAAGGTCCTCACAATATACAGCCATACAAGTACACTATACACAAGTGCAATCAGTAGAACGTAAATGACTGTGTGTGTCTGGCTGCAGATAATAATGATTCAAAATTGCTGCCACATTAAAAAGAAATGGTATAAATTATATGGTTTATCAGATAATGTGTAAGAGCTTGTCACCTTGGCGGTGGAGTAATCTTCCTCACAATATTTTATACAGGCTTTCAGCTTGACCATCTACACGAGAGACAGAGAGAGAGATGAAGATAGAGAGAGATGTGGGGGGGGGACGACAAACCAAAAGTAAAACAGTGACATGATGTGAAAAGCCAAGTGCTGGGCAAAAAACACTAACATGGAATACAAACTGATCCAAAATGTCATACACAATTAAGTTTCATGAGCTTGAACCTGTTTTGCCAAAATGAATTAACATTTGTTTTGTCAAAATTACATGTTTATACTTAATAACATACTGACAAGATCGACTTAACAACATTGTTATTAGCTGCATTATTTTGTCTTTGAGTTAAATGATTTTCCTTGTTTTCTGACTTATCTACAATGTTGCAATGCTGAATTATCATCTTAGACATGACCTAAAGCTCAAAAAATTAGGTGGTATGTATGTTCTAGTACTTCTATGCAGAAGCAACTCGGTTTATACAAGTCTTGCAAAATCCCATTCACATGACTTTTTTTCTAACATAAATGATTACATGATAGTTTAAGGATTTCCTTGAATGGGTATATTCTCCAGGCAATTGAGCATTCATGTGAACTTGCCTGAAGCCGGCCAGTGAAGCCCCAGCATGGTTAGTGATCATCTCATCACCACTGGATTCGCCTGGAGCACAGTATCTGTTTGTTTTGACTGCTTGAGGCCAGTATGTTTGCCGCATGTGATGTGGGTTAATGAGCAGATTCTAACGATCCATAATGTTATTGTTGGTGCTATGCTAATTTCACTGCTTTGGGACTTTATGTGGTCGTGTGAGGGAAGACGCAGTGACCACCGGTTGGATTTACCAACCTTGGAGCTACTTGAAAGGGAGTGATGTTTCCACTACTTGGTGGGATTTAACGTTAAGTTTAAAAAGAAAAATGTTGCATGTCTGTTAATGCCTTGTTTCTGTAATGTTAGAGAGAATTGTTGTAAGGCTGGAGAAGTTACTATGTCTGCATTAAGCCAGTTAAAATATGGGGTTTCTCAATTACGTGCTTTGTTTAGAGTGTTACACATCTCTTTTCCTTGGTACATATACTGTTGCTTACCTATCTATGGAGGAGAAATTCAAATTAATGCTGTTGTGCTATGCACACCAGCAGCAGGAGGTCTCATTTTTAGGAACAGGCTCTCTGGTTTTACTGTTCTGAAATAATTACAGATGATTTGGAGTTATGATGGGTGTAAAGCTAATCTAGAGGTAAATGGTAAATGGACTGTATTTATATAGTGCATTTTTCCACAGTGTGTTGCACTGGCCAAAGCGCTTTACAGGAGATCATACACCATTCACCCATCGATGACGACAAGCTGCCACACACCGGCGCTAGTCAAGCCACCGGGAGCAATTCGGGGTTCAGTGTCTTGGGTATGCAGGGAGACCGGGAGTCGAACCACCAACTTGCTGGTCAGGAGACGACTGCCCTACCTTGTGAGCCACAGCCACCCCCAAGATTTCCCAAGGTACCCAAGATTAAACATGAAATGGCTGGAAATGATCATGCCATTGCCACTTTAATAAAAACGTGGCCCCTGTTGCTGAACTATACACATTTTTGCTTGCTTTATTTCATTTGTTGTGCATTTATGGCCCATATGGCTTTGTTAGAGCACTCCTGTTGAACAAAGGCTCCCAGTGATAAAAAGTGTGGAACAGATGGGGGAACAGAGTGAAAGATTTCAGTTTAAATGAGGCAGAGTTGTTCATAAATTGCAAATCTGAAGCAAGCAGTGATGGAACACCTGGACCAAAACACTTTCAGATGTCCCACAAAACAATGCTGTGGGACTGAATTGAGCTGCTGATAGAAGTCCATTTGAGTAATACAAGGTCTTTATTTTATCCTGCTTTTTCAGCCCAGTAGTGTGTACATGCTGTACCTTGGTGTGACTGCTGGGGTTGTCTAATAAGAAGGAAGCCTTGGTGGCTTCAGGATAAGCACCAGCATTGTACAGGGACTGTGCATAGTACACCTTGTACTCCTCCACATCTGGGTGCAGCTGTGTGAGCTGCTCATAGCACTCTGCAGCACTGGTGAAGTCCTGGATGTGATAGTAGCAGTAACCCAGCAGAGACAGTGCTGCCCTGGACTGGGACAAAAATCAAAAGCAAGAGTGAGTTATACTGATAGTCACATGCAGTGTTTTGCAATAGAAAACTGTGTGGATAAAGAAAAATAATCTCACCCTTTAACATAGTATTTAAGACACAACAACAATGAAATACAGTGTAATTCAGGATGTCCAAGTATAACAGCACAAAGTGCACTATCAAAAACTAAACCTAGATCAACAGAACCCATTATTTTTAATAGTTGTTTTTACAGTCTAGGCAAGGCAGTTTTATTAATATAGTACATTTCAAACACTGAGGCAAATACATAGGCAAAGAAAAGTATTAGAATAACAATGAAAATAGAGATTAAACACCAGAATAAAATAAAATAAAATGATATTTTAAAAAGGTAGTTTAAGTGAAACAAATTAATAAAATGATAAGAAAAGTCTAACAGACAAATAAGAGAGGATCAGGAGCACAACTACACAAGCAAATTGTAACTTTCCCGAACGCAACACACAGACAACAATATTCCGTTTAAATTTAGGACTGCAATTAATAATTATTAAGTAATTATTAATTAATCTGTAATTATCAATTATTTCTATAAAATATCAAAAAGCAGAAAAAAGCAAAAATACCTACATTGTTAGACGTGAATATATGAATATGAATATTTGTTCAAAAAGATTTTCTATATACAGTATGCGTTACATGAACACTATTCCAGGTACTTACCTTTGTGTGTTTTTGAAGCTGAACGTTTAGGATGTTAATTGCCTCTACATATAGGCCGTCTTTAATCTGAAAGACAGTTGACAATTTGCTTAACTGCGATGGTTTTATGTAAAGCGTCCGTCTTAATAACACAGTATCGCCACTATCTAACTGGGGAAACTGATTAAATTGTTATGAGTGTGTCTGTGTGGAAAATTAGGAAATACTAGGTTGGAGATATGTGAATGGAGTTTCGGTTAGCGTTTTTTTATTTTATTACGGTCAATGTATCGACGCTAGCTTAAAATTGAGCTGGGCAGCTAACCTCAGTGAAAACATAAATATTCTCACCAGTTTGTAGATTGTAGCTGTGTACTCTCCGTCTTTAATAGCTGCCATGACTTCAAATGGGCCGTTTTAACAACAACAAACTGCTTGCAACTTTGTGTATTCTCGATAAGAAGATTGAGGAACTGCAAAACAACATGGGACAGATAGAAGCTTAGTAGTTACTTAGCAACGGTAAAAGACAACTTAACAGACGTGTGTAACAGCCAATCATCTAAGAGGATACATTGACGTATCCCAGTCTTTTGTTTTTTTCTAAACTTAACCTTTATTTAACAGTTGAAGACAGACAAAAATCATAAATGCTTTCTCTCTTTCTTTCTTCAAGTCCAATGTTATATATTAAATAAGGCATTATTTTAAAAAAGTAAGGGCACTTCTATGCTGTAAGAGACACTCAAACAGATGGCAGGAACAACATCAGGAACAGCTAAGATATTCTACTGCACAGAACCCCCAAACAACAGCCCTGCACACACACACACACACACACACACACACACACACTTATATACACACACACTCACAGGCTACTTTATTGGGTACACCTGTACAATTGTTTGCAATTCAGTGCAACACTTCTGTCTTAACATCTGTGTTTATGAAGCTCAGAAGCTTTCAGTTTTTGGTGAAATGATCATAAATGTATGCATTCAATTATATGTTTATTATTGAGGCCATAGTTAAAGGTGACGTTGTACTACATTATATTCAAAGGTGTTCCTATATTCTGACCCTCTTGTGTACTGTACATAGCTGGGGAGGACAAAAATATAGAGATACCGCTGAATAAAGTGATAAAGTGGCTGGTGAGTGTGTATTTTATTTATTCTTTATAGATTGTGTATTTCATAATGCCTACAGTACTTCCTTTCTTTCTTTCTATCTTTCTTTTTTCTTTCTTTCTAACAGTGTTGAGAGCACAAGCACAGACTGGTAAAAAACACCAATGACCTCATATTTGAACGATCCATGACGTTATTTTATCCAAGGGTCACATTAAAAAGGAACACACACACGCTGGTCAAAAAAGATGAAACTGGAGCTTTGCCTCAAACCGAAACTGCGCTATGCTGACCACTGGGCCTCCATAATGATGGGGTAAAGGGTAGATCCTGTGTGTTACAGTAGTGTGTGTCTGTGTGCATGGTTGAAAGTAAAAGTGTGAGTTGTTGCGTATATGCATGTGGATGCATGCTTGTGTGCAGGGGTGTGTGTGTGTTTTCTTTCTCTCTTTTTCTGTAGTTATTGTATGCCTGTCACTGCCTTCTGTTCAGATTCCTGGGAAGTGTTACAGTAGAGGAGCTGCAAAACAACAGGTACACATATTATTACATAGGTATGTGCAGAGAGTGGGATTTATTTACATATTAGTCATATTTATCAATGATTTTTCATTTTTTCCAGTCAAAAATTATTAAGAAAAGGAAAGGAGAAGTATCAAAAAGAAGAAAGGTCTGCTTACACAGGTAAATTGTATTATTTTATTTCTTGTCTTGATTTTCTGGCTCTTCTTGTTTTCAAAAATTGCTTTACTTTAATTGTATCCAAAACAAACATGTTTAAAATAGCCGCCATGAAAAATTATTTTTTATAAGCATTGTTGGTATTCATGCTGCATAAAAACACAAGTACTGTGTATGCTTGGGATGGAATGAAACACTTTATTAATGTTGAACTTGAGCTGACCAGTACATCCATCTTTCAAATATGAGAAATTGTTTTAAACACATATGTCCAAGATGACCAACTGTATAGTCTGCTAGAGCCTTTGTGTATTATTTTGGGTGTATTTAATTTTGTGTGTGGGTGAGTGTGTGTGGGGGTGTGAGTGAGTGACTGTATATCACTGTAACAAACACAAAGTTGCTGAGGTAGTTTGTATTCTGCATGTCTCTGCAGCTCCCCTTCTCATTTTTCCACAGTTGCTTTGTTGGTTCAGTTTTGTGTATTAGCTAATGTATCTGACTAGAGCTTGGCCTCATTTTTTATTGTAAACTGACTGCAGTAGCTGAGAGTTCAGCCACCAGGCTTTTTCCTCTGCTCCACCTTCTGACACACCTGGAAGACATAGACGTTTGTACTCAGAAAAGTTAGATTTTCTTTTTCTCTGCTTTATCAGGGTTGGCAGTCACAGTAGTAGAACAGCATACAGGCTTCACTGAGAAGTGTAATCCCTTCAACATGCTGGTTCAGGCTGGATGGACTCAGTGAAAATTGTGTATTTCAGGAAAGAAGATTGGATGTCATAAAGACTCAACCAAAAGATGATTAATTATGCTGATGTATTGCAAAATATGTTGACTTGCCCTGCTTCTGCTCGTTCAAGTGTAATGAAGATGCAAGACATGCTGAAGCATTAGAGGTTTGTAAGCAATATAACTGATTTACTATGGTGCCATTGTTGCACTCAAGCTTCACTAAACTACACAGTGGCAGTTTTTCTGAAATCAACTTACAGTATCATTCAGTTAAACGATCCTTGTAACAGTAGATGCAGTAGATATAGATGAAGTGCTCACAAAAAAAGTTGACAATAAAAAAGGTGTGTGCATGTATAGCATTAAAGAAGTCAATAAATAAAAAAAGAATAAAAAGATGTAAGTAGATAAACTGGCAAGGCAAACCAAATTTTGTTTATTTGTATTGCAAATTTCAGCAACAAGGCTCTTAAAAGTGTTTTACATAAGAGTAAAATAAGAGAAGCATTAAGTGTCAAATTTAAAAGCGCTGACAGCTGAAGCAGACTTCTAGTTTTCTGGAAATTGTGTGCAAGTAAAAAACAATGCTCCTAAAAACCAGGCTGAGGTTTGAACCAGGTCTTAGCTTAGTGAAAGCTGAGTGAAAGAACATCTGAGCTTCTAGTCTAGACTGAAATTTGAAAAGAATGCCACTGGAGCTTGTCTCATCTAGAGTATACACTTCAGTGAGAACTTATGCCGTGCCTCCTGATAATGTATGGGCCAAGTATGGAGCCTTGTGGAGCAACACGTTATTTCATAGTTTGTGATCAACTTGTTTATTTACTTATTTGTTACTTTTGAGCAGTGCAGAAAGCTGTAAACAAAAGAGTGACATATCACATTTTAAATTTGTTATGAAAAACTTTTTAACAATTATTCGTAACACATCAGCAGTTATGGAGCAACATCATTGCATATTTGAGCTGTGTTTGAGTCCATATGTCCAAGCCCAATGCTTGCTGTTTTTTTTTTTAGCTCTGTTTCAGTTTCTACCAACTCCTAAGGGAAATATTCGACTCTTTAGCTGCTGGATGTAACACTTTTTCATCAGCTAGTCTGTAACTGTGTCTCTCAGGTGTTTGGTGAGTAGATAGTATAGACTGGGTTTATCAGAGCTTTTCACAAGAACAGCTGCACAGCCGAGAGTCGTGAGAGTGAATCAAAAGTAAAGTTGTGGGCTATATAAAATATGTTATTAATGTCAGTAACATACTCTCTCTCCCCCAGGTACTGGTCTGATCATGGCCTCGAAACTGAGCGTGATGCTGCTTTTACTGGCTGTTGCCATGGCAATGGTGCAGGCCCAGAGGCGGAGGCCGACGTTAACAACCACTGATGAATGGAACTACAGGGATGGCTGTGAGCACCCAGATTACTCTCTGTTTACTCTGAGTCAAAGGTCAAGTTCAGGGCTCATCATGATGATGTCAAGGCTAGAGGTGCAAGATCACACTGCAACCTCACTGTTCAGAGCCGACCTGTCTTTGTTCGGATTTTAAGTTTTACTGACCCCTCTGAGATTGAGGACGTGGGAAACCGTGCAGGCCTCCAACTTACAACAATGTACAAAGTCAAAATACTTTCACCTTTGGCAGAGGTGCTTTTAGTAGAGCTAGACTATGAATTCCCTTTGCTTCCAGTCTTTGTGTTAACTTGACTTTGTGCAACTTTGTTTGTCTAGCTTTGTCCAAAGTTAACAATTACACCTATTAGCACCCCCAAAGCTACTTTACACAGTGTTTGATCTTGATTATATCCATCCACCCATTACCTATACCACTTATTCCTGAATAGGGCCACAGGGGAGCTGGAGCCAATCCCAGCTGACATTGGGTGAGAGGCAAGGTCCACTCTGGACAGGTCACCAGTCTGTCACAGGGCTGACACTTAGAGACAAACAACCACATACACTCACTCCTACGGGCAGTTTAGAGTTGCCAGTCCACCTAAGCTGCATGTCTTTGGACTGTGGGAGGAAGCCGGAGTACCTGGAGAGAAGCCACGCAGGCAAAGGAAGAACATGCAAACTCCACACAGAATGGTCCTGGGTTGGTCTAGGCTCAAACCCGGAACCTTCTTGCTGTGAAGCGACAGTGCTAACCACCAAGCTGCTATGCCGCCAACCTTGATTACATTCCCAGAAATATAAAAATTAAAAGTTGTTATAAAAATTAAAAGTTGTATGTTTACATGCTGTTTACACTTAATTTTAAATGCTATTTAAAAACATGAAATGCAAATTGTTAATTAAAGAGCTTTAGATGCACCGTTAGGTGTATTTTTGAACTTTTAAATAGAATTTAACTAGCCGTATACTTCCAGTTCTTATGCTAAGCGAGGAAAATATCCTTCTGGACTTATAGCTAATTCTAGAAAGAAACAGTGTAGTAGCATATTTCCCCATTGTGCCATACAGCATGTTGCCATGTCAAGCACTCATCAAGTGTGTGTGAACATCAGTTTTGTAGTGGTGAACCAAGTTATTTTTTGTGCAGTAACTGTAAATGTACTCTTTCTTTCTCAGCTGAGAGGGTGAACATGCGCGGTGTGTCCAACCTGACTCAGGTTCTGGACAACTGGAGGTTCGACATCCTGAACCAGATGAGAGGATTCCTACAGAATGATCACCAGTCTCTGCTGCCCGACTATGCCAGGTATGAAAGGAGAGAGGGGCAAAAGAAAGGTATCTAAGGCAGAGTGTGAACCATGTCAGAGGTCTTAAAAAGAATATGGCTGTTTAGGTTGGAGGACCTGGTCAAAACATACGCTCTAACAAAATGTTTCTTTGTACCACAGAGTCTTTGGAGTCAAAGAAAGTCTTAATTTGAATTTTATCTAACTGAAGAATTCTGAATTTTGGACACTTTTCTATCTCTTTTTGTGAACTATGAAGAAATTCTGCAACTTGAACTTACCTTCTGGAAATTTTTCAAGGGGGAATTCAAACTATATAAATTCAGACAGATTTTACAGACAGGTTTAATTAAATATTTCAGTGCCATTCAGGACTATTTCAATTTCAAAATGATGGATTAAATATGATTTCACAGTTAGATATTCAGTTGCTTGTAAGACTCAATTCCTCATGGTCTTTTTCTGCCCTCCGGTAAGACACAGTGTGTAAAAACATTATGTAGAGGAGAAATGTCAACAGAAGACACCGTGGTAAAGATGACAGCTGTGTTCAGTTCTGTGTAAATCATCTAAGAGTTCTCTATAATTATCATCATAAATGATAGGGCAGAGATCTTCATAGTCTGGTATATCCTACAAAAATTTAATTAAACACGCTGGGTGTAGAGAAACACCACAGACATTTGGTTTGTGCTGTAGGCTGAAAATAAATTCAGGAGTTTGAGGGGTACACTCTGTGGCACATGTTGTCATAAGAAACTGCAGCTGAAACTGCAGTTTTAAAAACACTTGAGTTTTCCACAAGGAAGTCTGGTGTTTCCTGCTCCTCACCGCAGGTTAGAGGATATCATTATAGTCCAATAGTTAAACAAACATTTCTGGAGTAGCCATGTTTAAAGTATCATTCTCTCTCTTATTTTCTTTTCATCTGGCATCTTCAGCTATAATTCTTCTAATTTGTCACTTTTTCATTAATCCAATTGCAAAATATAAAAAAAATGTACATACTGAATTAATGTGTATTTATGAACCTGTTTGTATTATTGTCCTACATTAAACAGGCCTACAGTTTTATATAAAGTCAGACAGGATCTTCTGATGTAGTTTGATTATGTTCCACATTGGAGTTGATCTTTCTACACAGCTGAGCATCATCATAACATGGTGACCAGGCTACAGGCTGGATGTTTATTTGAAGAGGTTAAAAAGGAAAGGAAATCTCTTAGGTGGATAAAGGAAACCTAGCTGTAGGTTGCACTGTACATGTCTAAATTCTTACATTTTCCCCCCATTTCTATACTATAACATCACCATTTGGACTTTTGTCTGGATAGGGCTATTCTTCAGTGTTTGGTGCATTTTATATACATGTAATGAAAGAATAACAGAGGTAAATTGCATAATTTTCAAAGTTTTATCTTGAGACAGTTTCTAAAGTATCTATTTCAAGATGCTTGACCTTCACTTGAGCATAGTTGTGACTACAGTTATACTGGATATACTTTGATTATTGATGGTAACACTTAAAAGATCTTCTGCACCTTTTAATGACATTCTCAATTCTTTCCTTATTTGTAGTTGTATATTTTGTGCAGTTGCATTCATATCTTTATCAAATTACTTGTTTTATAGTTTATGTTTTTCATGTTAGCATGTCTTTATTTCTTGCACCTTGGTGCCAGAAAGAAATTACTGGAATACTGAAATATGGGTAGATGACAACAAAACGTGACCAACAGACCAATCTGATTTCTTGGCTCCTGATCCAGAACAACTTCAGATGACCTAACCATTTGCCGTGTCTGTGCTCAGGATCCAGCCGCTGTCTGAGGCTTTAGATGACCTCTACAAGGAGTTCAATGCCCTGAAATCTCACCTGGGTGACCTGACAGAGAAGTTCACCGCCATAGAAACTTTCATTGATGAGGTCAAGGCTGGCCGTGCCAACAACCCCAACGCTCCTCACCAGGTTCCGGCTCCTGCTCCAGCCCCAGCCTCCATCCCCAGACAGACAAGGAGGGTGGTTAAAAAGAAGATCCAACCTCCAACTGGCCAATGAAATATTTCTTCTGTTCTGGTGTTGGCTCCTCTTCAGGCTGTTCTTTGTCTCTGCTTGTTGTATCTGTCAGTGCTTGAACTCAGAAGCTAGCTCTTCTGTAAATTCATTATTATCATGTTACATAACATTTTGACTTGTAAAGAACCACATAGTAATGTTAGCCTTTCAGGGTTGTTTCAGGGAGAGTCAAACACCTCCACTCTCACTTGTTCTCACAGGAATTAGTAAACTGTACTAACTGGGAAATCTTGAAATTCCAAATCTGTCATCAACTGGTTTCATCTGGTGCCATCTCTTGTTTGGCATATGTGGACTAAACGCCTCTTTCAGACTTAATCCAGTGAGATCATGAGCTCATGCAGGCAAAAGTATGTGCACAGATTGTTAATTCATGCACATGGCTGTATAATCTGTGCACACAGTTAATAAAGACCATTCACTGTTTATAATGTATAATTAATCTAATTGATGGACACAGGTTAGAAAGATACCTAGTTCAGAAGTCCAAACATGTGCTGTGTCTGAAATCATTTTTAATTATTTCCTACATAAAGGATACTAGTTTTCCCTCAAGTAAGCAATAAATTGGGATTTAAGAGGCTTATTTTGCATCATCACTTACAGGTGAGATGCTTTATGACTGCAATTTGTCATGAAATGTAATGTTTTCTTCATGGCAGGGACACTACCTTTTTCATTACATAGTGGAAATTTGTGAGGACAACATGGAGTGTATATTTAATACCCACAATTCTGACATGTAAATAAAATGGCAGAGAGTAAATATAGTCCACTGTGTAGGAGTGAAGGGAATAATTTTGAACACCGCCTCAGTTTTCCATTCCAGTTCCCTCATCAGTATTTTTTATGGTGTGTCTCACCACAAGCTACTCCAAAAAATGTGTTTGCTTCCCCCTGACTACTTCTCCGTACAAGGGCACAAGTAAGTGCTGGTAATTCCATGTTGGTTTGCTTTTTCTGGAAGCACAGTAGCATCATTGCATAACATAACCACCAAAGAAACCAAAGTATATGATTAATTGTTTTACAAGTCAATGAAAAGACCAAGTCTAGGTTAAGTAGGTGAGTAGTGGAAAGATCAGTGTCAATGTGGTTCAGATTTTTTAATCTGATATGAGTTGTAAGTTTTTAAGTTTGATTTTGCTTGCCACACTATGACCCCTGGAATCCCATCGATCCATCCATATGCCGCTTATCCTGAATGTCGCAGGGGGCTGGAGCCTATCCCAGCTGACATTGGGCAAGAAGTGGGGTACACCCTGGACAGGTCACCATTCTATCACAGGCCTGACATGTAGACAAACGACCACAAACACTCACTCCTACTGGCAATTTAGAGTCACCAATCTACCTAAGCTGCATGGATTTTGGACTGTTGGAGGAAGCCGGAGAACCTGGAGAGAAGCCACACAGGCACAGGGAGAGCATGCCGCTGGAACCCCACACTGTAAAAATACAGTCAAATTATTTCAAATGTTTCGATGATTCAAAACAATTTGTCGTTCATTTTTGTTGTTGTTTAAATGCCTGGTAAACTAAAAATGCTGATTTATATTTTGGCCCTGTGATAGATTAGCAACCTTGCATTTCACCCAGTGTCAGCTGGCATTGGCTCCCCATGACCCTCAACAGGATAAGGGGTATAGTTAATAGACAGATGGATAATTGGCCAGGTCTGTATGTCTATGTAGTACAGCTGAGCTAGGAAATAAAAGCACATGATCTGTTTCTTATGCATGCCTCCTGGACAAATATACTTGTTGGTTTGGGGGTTATATTAACAGCTGCATTATAAGAGCTGAAAATAAATTCACCTTTTGCATTCATTCATCATTTCTGTTGTTATTCCTTTCAAAACAAATTTTACCAGTATGTATAAAGCTGCTTGGAATCCAATTATTAGTTTCTACATATTTATCACTTTCCAAATACATACTGTAAATTAACATTATTTCCTCACTAAGTCATTAGAAAACACAACTTCTATTATGTTTCCTACACAATGTATTTGCTATTACAAATGATTATATAAGGGTGATTCAGTGAATGAGGAGTCTCCAGCAGAGGCAGCAGATACACACTTTATATATTTTGAAAATGTCTGATAAGAATCTGGTTTATAGATACAAGGTTAGCATGAGTGCAATCAAATGTTCACGTTAGTGTCCTACATCCTCATGTTCACATTAAACACGTTTCAGTCGTAAAATGTGTGATTCTATTAGCTGAGCTGTGAAATGCAAGAGGACTGATAATCTTGAGAGAACATTGTTAATAATAAATAGACATGACACATTTTAAAACAATTTTAAATATATGAACTTGCCAATAAATCTTTTAAGAATATGTTCACATTTAATTTTTAGGTCAACCTTGTGTTCTGTCTGACAACTAACGTGGCGCAGCTCTGCATTGCATTTGGAGGTCCGTTACTGATTGAGAGTTTGAACAAAAACAAACTGGGTAGGCATGCACGCATAGTATTCTTTATATTTGTTTGAAAAAAACATTTTGATGGAAAAAGGAAAAAGAACTAAATGCCTGTAATTTATAAAAAATGCTAATTTTTAGACTTGCTGGATATGAACTATATATTCTGTCAGAGTCTTCAATTCAAAACTATCAGCACCAAAAACTCAAACCAAACCCTACTGTATCTGAGTCTCTGAGCTCTGACCCAGTTTGTATTACACCAGAGCCACTGAGAGAAACATCAGTAATCCCATACACTTTACTGTAACACAGAGGGTGTAATCTGTCTTTGCTCTCTTTTGCCCCCCTGCTGGAGATGATGTGGGACAGATTGCACAGAGATAGGATGAAACGGGGTGAGAGTACAGTAGCATAAAAAAGTGCTAGCACTGGGGTGAAAGAGATTTAGTGACAAAAACACCTCCATGAAGTACCACAAGCATATAACAGGCAAAACAGGCTATAATCTAATCTATTATAGGCTAAAATGATGAAATCATCAGCAATAACAGTAACCAGCGATGTTACATAGCTAACTACATTTATTTAAGTACAGTGCTTTGATTTTCTTTTTCTTTAATAGTTCTACTCTACATTTCAGAAGAAAATATTGTCTTTTTTTTTACTCAGCTAAAGTTAGTTGAGAGCTCGATAGTCACTAGTTACTTTGCATATAAAAATCACCCACAACTGAAAATATCTCTTCTTCAGAAGCTGAGCTTGTTGTTTCAGCTGCTGCACCATAAGCTACATCTTGTAGTTCAATCATCTACAGTACATCTGAAAATTAAAACAAGCAGCAAGAAAACAGCTGGGAAAATAAATTCCGTCACTGTGTCTATGCTTAACTGGCTTTGATGACTGTGCACAGCACATAACCTTGCCTTTATTTAGCATTTGAGCATTTGTATAACAAAACTACAGAGATTTAGGGGAATCAACTAGTATTTTCTTATATAAATGTTTAAGTTTTGTTCATTTCAAATAAATTCAACTTAAAAGTCTTGTTTTTTCAGACCACTTAAGAACTTATTAATATGAATATGAAACTTTTTGACTTAAAATAATGAAATGAATGAATGATATCCTGAGAGTTCACTCAACACAATAAATAAAGTTTTTAAAGAAATATCATCAGCATATTAGGGGTCTTCACCTTTCCAAATGGTGCATAAATGAATTTTCAAAAAAGGGAGACCCAATCTGTGGGTGACTGCAACACATCCAGACCCGACCTTAAGGTTGTAAGTGATGGGCTGTAAAATCAATAACCACATCTGACTTGCAGACATGTGACATACATTGACATACAGTATGACCGCCTTTCAAATGAAGGGTCAGAGGTCAATGTGGGTAATTTGCATCCCAGAGAATAAGGGTACAAAAAAGAACAAGATGTTTTCATAATTTGTGAGGAATGAAAACAAAAAAAAAATCTGTTTAATAATTATCAGAAATTCTGAATCTCTAATCTCTCTGCACGAGGATCACACCACACATAAAAGTTTCTTCAGTCTGATCATTACCACTGGCACCAGAAAGCATGAAATCTATTATTGATTTGAGTGCCCCTGTGACACAGAAATGTGAAGAGGACAGAAGAAGAGGCCACTTGTGAACTGGTCAAGTGAAGCAGACCAGTAACACTGTGTGATGATGAATTATAGCATGGAAGTGGGATTGAGTTCTTCTTCCCCCACCTCCTCTCAAGTTACATTGATCAGATGCTTTGCTGGACAGTTTGTCAATGAACCAAGAGATTCACAGGTTTATTTTAGATGTTTTTTGAGAAAGTATAATTCAAAATATCACGATTATCACCATGAAACATTCAAGGCACAGGTTGATTTTGGACATTTTCAGCCCATTCTCATTTTGAGGGATTTAAATACTCGTGCTTTGTTAGGTACCTTTGACATTGCATAATGATATGCACAACATTTCCAGTAAAGTCTTAACCTACTTGTGTCAGTATTTTGACACCCAGAACAAATGCTCTGGCTATATATTAGTGGTGAAGTATATGGGTGGATGGGTTGGTCATAAAACATCAGACATTTCCACAGAAGCGTGTTTGATTCTAGTGGGAAGCAATGTGCTTTTTACCAACAATCTTTTCCTAAACCTAACCATGTATTTTTAAGCTATATTTACATTACCTGCCAAAGTAAGTTATGCAAAGATCATCAGATGCTCAAGAGGGATTTGTTGGGCTTTCTATATAATAGTTTAAGGTCTGGACCTGACTACGTAAAGTGCCCCAAGACAACTGTTGTTGTGAGTTGGCATTATACACATAAATTGAATCAAGCCCAAATTGGATATCTCATAACTGACCTGGGTCACTTCGATATGTGGTCCTAGATCCAATTCATATCTACACATGTGCATATTGCTTGTCGTCATCATTCAGTGCTGACCCTCACAAAATAAACACAGAGAACAATGCCAGTGACGGGGTCAGTGGAGATATAAGTATGTTTTGCAGTTCTTGGACATTTTATAGAGAAGCTTCTGTTCAATCCAAACTGCTGGGGACATCATAACTGAATAGTTTTTGAGGGAATTGCATAATTTGACTGTTGCAAAACTGACGTTATTCTTGCACACTTGTGACTCAAATTTCAGTTTAACTGTGTTCAAATTGATGCTGAATTCATGTCACTTGCAAACATGAATGTGAACCATCAACACAGAAAACCTGGATCTGACAAAAAAATTGGAACTGAGCATTAAAGACCTTTCATGGAAAACCTGTACACCTCATGGGTCAAAAGGAGGGCAGAGAAGATTTCTACAGACCCCTCACACCCTGGACACAATCTGTTTGAACTCCTCCCCTCTGGACAGTGCTACAGGTCACT